AATATCTGGAAACAAACGTAATAGACATGACATGGGGAACTGATATTGTTTTCATCTTAATTCTGGGTATTGGAAACGGCCTATCCGAAGTATGCAAATAAAAACATTAATTTTGTATTCATTGAGACGTCTAAAATAGGAGATTGTCTTTGCTCTGACCATAACCTGGCCACCATTCTATGATTTGAAACCCGGCTCAACTTGGGTGCTCGTTATCCATCAAGACCTGTAAGGCGGTCTTCTCAAGCTTATACCCCTCCCTACACATGTTTCTATCATACCAACGACATTTGAAAGGGAAAGGGAAGGGAACTCTAAGCAGCACCGCCAGTGAGGTTCTCAAGCTTGAGCTTGTTCCAGCGAGTGAGCAAGCTGATCAGGAATGAGAAGCCAGTAAAGGCAATAGCCATGGCGAAGACGATATGTAAGCCCTTCATGTAACCGTCAATGACGATAGGAAGTTCCTGAGAATTGAAGGATTCACGAAGAGCGGTAGCTCCAGTGAGAATCAATCGTCCCTTGCTGATTTGAGGAGCATTCTCGCCAATGTTGAGGAGCATCTGGTTGACAAAGGCAGCCTGTCCTGCAGAGACGACATAGGCACCTCCAAGTCCCTGGAAGACTACATACAGTTAGCTATTTGTTCTCAACAATCACCAGCAGAGAGAACTTACATAGAAGAATGCCAGTAGCAGAGGCAAGATCCTTAGGGTCAACAGTACCCTGGACAGCAATCATGGGAATCTGGAAGGCAACACCCCAGCCGACACCAGCAATGATTTGGTAGCCAATCCACTTTCCAGTAGAAGTGTCAACGTCGAGGAGGTACAGGAGACCAGAACCAACCGTAGCAAGGGCAGCACCACCGATGAGGAGAGGCTGGTAGAAGCCAGTAGCGGTGACAAGACCTCCACTGATAATAGTGGCGAAAGTGACCGCGAGAATAAGAGGCAAGTTGCGAACACCACTGCTCGTAGGAGAAGCGTTGTGAACAGACTGGAAGTAGATGGGGATGTAGTAGATGGCGAGGAAGAAAGAACCGGCAAAGATGAAAGCAAAGGCGCTCATAACCCACACGGTGCGGTTCTTGAGGATGCGGACAGGAATCATGGATCGCTCACCCTGAACATAACAGGAGATCGCCCAGACAATAGAGATGGCTACCCATCCAACGAGCAGACCGATGACAACAGAGGAGTCCCAAGCGTGAGCCTGTCCACCATACTGAACAGCGAGGATGTACGAGATGGTGAGGCCCATCATCAGAACAATTCCAAGGGGGTCCATCTGAAGAAACTTCTCAAGAAGAGGAGCCTTGACGGGAATAGCAGCACGGGGAGTCTTGAAGAACAAGAAGATGATGCCAGCAGAGACTCCTCCGATGGGGAGGTTGATGTAAAAGCACCACCGCCACGAGACATGATCAGTAAAGGCACCACCAAGGAGAGGCCCGATGACACTGGCGATACCGTAGGCGGCACCAATAATACCAGTGAAAGCAGGTCGCTTCTTAGGAGGAGCAGAGAAACCGATAATAGTATAAGCGCCAGCACCTAGACCAGCACCACCAACGCCGGCGATGGCTCGGCCAGTGATGAGGGCTTCGGCATTGGGAGCGGCACCGCAGATGACAGAGCCAAGCTCGAAGATGAGAATAGCGACGATGAAGGATGTCTTTAGGGGAAAGTACTTGTAGATTTTACCCCCTTAGATAGTGTTAGCGACAATTTGGGTGAAAAGGGAGCTGAGACTTTGTGACTTACAAGTTGACTGGAAAGCACCGACAGTCATGAAGAAAGCAGCACCATACCATCCTACCTTGTCAAGACCCTTGAACTCATCAGTGATCTTGGGAATAGCCGTTGCCACAATAGTCTATTGCACGGCCTATGTTAGCTCTCCGAATGTTGGCTTGTGAAGGAGGCGTGAGTTACCAAGTCAAGAGAGAAGAGAAAGACTGCCATGACAAGAGCAAGAACAATGAAGAACATGTTAATGCCGGTAGGATATTCATCTTCGTCAACCTCATCACTGTCGTTGTTACCTGAGACTGTGCCGGCCTCAATGTCTTCATCTTGTTTCTCCTCCTTCTTCTCCTGAACATCCTCTCCTCGAAGTGTTGAAGTTGTAGACTCGGGGCGATCCGTGGTCGCAGGGACCTCGAGACTTTTTGGTTCGGCAGACATGGTGTCTGATTTTCGTTTACCTATAAGCTTAAGTCTATGGATGGTGTTGAATTAAGCTTATATGGAAGTTTCTGACCCTGAGGAAAGGGGGTAGATATTGTATAAGTGCTCGAGAGCTGGTCTCAATACTCTGAAAGACTGGCACATTTTGGTTGACAGCGAGATACGACTATCTTTATAACCCACGAGAACAATGAGATAATCTCATCTCACTAACAGTCTGACCTTTCTGGTCCTAGGAGTTAAGGTCAAGGCCCTGCACAAAATCCGCCCCAAGCATAACGATATCGCATCACAGCGCTGCGCATAGTATGGGCTGTCAGCATAACGGCCGGGCATAAGACAAAGCAGCCAGCCAGTAAAGAGGCTGCGGAGTGGCGGACTCCACCACATGTCCGCGCCTACACCCTCCATGATGATATCTCGTAAGCCCAATTGGGCTTGAACCAGCCAAGGCTCCGACGCTAACAATGAAACGCTCACCAATACCTGCGGACATCTGAATGAGCCTTAATGACGGGGCCTTGCTCATACTCATTCTGAAATGCACGATGTTTTAGCTTATGGAGCGTTATTGTGCCGAAAATGAGCTGCATGTTTGTGGCGTTGATGGAATTTGAAACCATCTGTGACAATATTGGTCCGAACAGGCGGAGAAAAGAGGCTGTTTCCAAATAAGCAATCTCAAAAGAGGATAGGTTGCCATAATAGAGCCATCCTATGCCACGTGTGGTTGTTGCTGTTCTTCGCTAGGTACGAGAAGATTCGGTGTAAGTCGATATCTTGTCAAGGATCTATCTAGGTTATCCGTCTTGTTGGGAATCGCTTACACGGAGACTTGGCCCGAAGTCAGATAACCTCATAGTGGTCCCGCATAACGCTTGGCATAATATAATATAATCTTCGTGTTAAAACTACACCAGCTCAGCACTGAGATGGACGATTTTGCACGCACGAGAGGGTCGGAGAATGGCAATCTAATGACTCACTTGACCGAAAAGGGAACGAGCAAGTGCCTAATTAGCCAAATAAGACGTAACATAACATCGCCAACTCAAGTTCACCAGCTAAGAAGCACAGCCAAGCTTGAATACGCGGAGTGGACAGTAAGACAAAGTCTGACGACCCTTCGGTAGCCCCGGAGTTAAGACTCATAGGGAAAATGATGCTGCATAAGGGATTGCAAGACACCAAGAGTCTCGGATTTAGCCCTCGTTTGTTGGCTCATCTTATCTCACCTGTCAGCATTCTGCTGGGAGAATCTTGCAGTACCAGTCCTATCAGAGCGCCTAAACAGTAAATTCCCAACGGCCTAGAGACTAGAGGTGATGATGATCCTCTAGGAGTTGGTCGCGGACCCTAGGCATACCAAGAACAAAGTCGAGAGTCATCATCCGCCAGTCACATTATTTGCGTGTCTCGTTTCTTATCCGCGGATAGGTCCTCGGTGGTTCTTTGTTGCTGTAAGAAAGGGATGAATTGTCATTCCGCAATCGTGTTCACGGACGAATGACGGACCACGGCGGACCAAAGCTGGCGGAGTTTGCAAATAACGATGCACTGATATGAGGCCATATCCAAGCGGCTCTGTTGGTATTGGAGGGCCAAGCTTTTCTGCTGACGAAGCGATAGAGGGGTTGGTTGGAGATCATCTTGGAATTGACCCTAAGAGGGGTAGTTTCTGATAAATAAGCTCTTGAATGATCAGGATCTGATCTCACATGTCGGAGACTTTGATCGGAGACATTGGATTCGATGATGATGGCGGCTAAAGGCGACATTGGGAAGATGGTGTTGGCATTAACAGGATGAGGTGATATGTCAGGATGTCTTTTCAGAAAGGAATTTATCCTTCAGAGCAATCTTTCTTTTTGATATATCGTCGAGACTGACAGGAAGATCTTCTCGATTAACATCCATGCCAGCTTCAACTTGACAGGCAGCCTTGTGGGGCATGATCCTCTCCAACAAAGACTTTGACTTGGCCACTCACTATACCGTATATGGTGAGTTATGCGGTCCGGGAATGATGCCGGTCCATGAATTGGCGAGAAGGCACTGTGTATGTACGAACCACTGATCGATACTCTCAGCATGGAACAAATAGGATCTTGGACGGTTGATGGAAGTGGCAGAATAAGGTAGTGAAGTAAGCCAACCAACCATCCATCCATCATTAGAAAAGCGCTTACAACGTCCATACCAAAGTCAATTGACTCTTCATACTGATACCTCGGTAGCTGTTATCGATAAGAGCTGTCATGATCGCTCGCCTCGCTTCGTGTCTTTTTACCTGATCTGGGCAACAGTCCAACTAAGCTCAATCAGTAAGGTCTAAGCGGTTTCATGACGTTGAACCACAGCTCCAACCTCCAATTGCCGGCCCCTCAATCATCCGCCGGCGGCGTACATGGCCTTTACCCAAAGGAGGCAAAAAGTTGCACATTTACGAGAGCTTCTGAAGCTTATCAATTGCTCAAGAGCGTAATTCTCGAGGCCATTGACTGCGGGGGATGCAGGTGATAACTTAGACTCCAGATACAGACAGATACTGTACTGTACATACTTAGCTAGACTCAAGACGGAGGTGTCTGGTTGGATTGGACCCCGAGCTACCCCTCTCAAGCCATGTCTCTGAGGAGCTATAAGAAGATGGGCGCTGCCCTTGTATTGAGACTTCCACTCGTTGGTTTCTGTTACTGTCCTTCAGTGTACCCTTCTCTATCTCGACCTTTACCACATTCGCCGTATCGACTCCCATCATCTCCTCTTAGCCGCCGATCTATCTCAACTACACAGAAACGCTTCAGCAACATGTCGGACTTGTTCGTAAACCTCGAGGCCCCCAACGGCGTCAAGTATAAGCAGCCGACTGGTCTCTTCATCAACAACGAGTTTGTTCCTGGCTCATCGAAGCAAACGATTACATCCATCGACCCTGCGTGAGTTAGATTCTCCCCAGTGTTCCAACTCCAGCTAATGTGATATTTCCAGTACTGAGAAGGAAATCGCCACAGTTCATGCAGCCAGCGCCGACGATGTCGATAAGGCTGTGAAGGCCGCCCACGCCGCATTCCATGCACCCTCATGGAAGAAGATGCCCCCTCCCCAGCGAGGCGCTCTCATGAACAAGCTCGCCGATTACATTGAGGAGCGCACACAGATGTTCGCTACCTCTGAGGCCTGGGACAATGGTAAGATAGCACCACCAAATGCTTGATTTGCGAATCGCTGACACAATGACAGGTAAGATTTACGCTGATGCTGAGGGCGGCGACGTTGTCGAGGTCATCAACACTATCCGCTACTACGCTGGCTGGGCCGACAAGATCACCGGACAAACTATCACCGCCAACCCCAACAAGCTCGCATACACTCTCCGCCAACCTCTCGGTGTAGTTGCCCAGATCATTCCCTGGAACTACCCTCTCGCCATGGCCGCCTGGAAGATCGGTCCCGCGCTAGCATGCGGTAACACCATCGTTATGAAGGCCGCCGAGCAAACACCCCTCAGCATCCTTCTCCTTGGCCAGGCTTTCAAGGACGTCGGATTCCCTCCTGGTGTTTTCAACGCTCTTAACGGTTACGGTGGCGAGGCTGGTCCTCCTCTTGTTCAGCACCCTCTTGTTGAGAAGGTTGCCTTCACTGGCTCAACTGCTACGGGTGCTAAGATTATGGAGATGGCCTCCAAGACCCTCAAGAACATTACCCTTGAGACGGGTGGCAAGTCGCCTCTCTTGGTCTTCTCCGACTGTGACCTCGATGAGGCTGTCAAGTGGTCACACATGGGCATCATGTCCAACCAGGGCCAGATCTGCACAGCTACTTCTCGCCTATTAGTTCAGGACAAGGTCTACGACGAGTTTGTCCAGAGATTCATCGAGACCACCAAGACTATCAGCAAGGTCGGCCACCAATGGGATTCCGAGACCTATCAGGGTCCCCAAGTCTCTCGACAGCAGTACGACCGTATTCTTGAGTATATCAAGATTGGAAAGTCTGAAGGCGCTACTCTGCTCGCTGGTGGCCAGCCTGTCGATGCCTCCAAGAAGGGTTTCTTCGTCCAGCCCACCGTCTTCGGTGACGTGCATCACCAAATGCGAGTCTTCCGTGAGGAGATTTTCGGCCCTGTCGTTGTCATCACCAAGTTCAGCAACGAAGAGGAGGCTCTCAAGCTCGCCAACGACTCTACATACGGTCTCGGTGCAGCTGTCTTCACCAAGGACGTCGAGCGTGCACACCGCGTCGCTGCTGAGATCGAGGCCGGTATGGTCTGGATCAACAGTACACAAGACAGCGAACCCTATATCCCCTTCGGTGGTGTTAAGCAGAGCGGTATTGGCCGTGAGCTCGGTGAGGCTGGCCTCGAGGCGTACAGCAACACCAAGTCTGTACACGTCAACCTTGGTTCTCGTCTGTAGGGAAGCTGAAAAGTGTGTGAAACTCTGAGCATATGACAGGGGTCTGGGGACTGTACTGTGGAATAGGAGTTTTGGCGTATTATTGTCGTATTTATTAGGAAATATCACAAATACCAGGATGCACCAATGACCAGTCAATATTGCACCAAAGTACGCTGTTCATTGAGCCTTGTGAAACTGGATTGGGGCGAAGTCTTAGTTATGAGCCCACTGATCTCCGCTTGTGAGGCTATGGCTTAACTAGCCCGTCGTTGCCGCCCCTAGTAGTGATACACGTCATAACAGCTTCGGAAGTCCTGTAGTTAGACAGTGAATCACTGCACGCGACAGTTGCATTAATATTTAGTTTCCCATTTATTTCATTGAATTTACCTAGTAGATCTATCACCGGTTATCGATCATCATTGCATCCAAAAATGACGGCTCTGCCTCCGCCTAGCTATTCCGACTTGGAATTGCCCTCCTACAACACCACTGCTGCTCCCAACTACACAAGCCCCACCACTATAACCCGCCCTAAAGATCCAATCCTCGGCCCTGCAACGCTCTTTATCGCAGGACGCTTCATCTACTCAACCGACCCCCAAGACCCCCCGCTCTACGAATTCTCCCACGACATCAGCTACCTCCACGATAACGATCGCAATGTCAAAGTCGAGCGCGTAGACCCTGTTACAAAGACATCGGCCGGTCTTCCCCAGGTCGTGCTGAAAAACCGACACCTCTTCGATCTCAAGCATCCCACTGCTGCCGAGTTCCCGTCCTTCCCGTACCATGCCGAAGCTACCTCACAACGAGCGCTAACAAGCTTTGGAGTGTCATGTTTCCGCTCCGGTAATATTCTGCGCCAGCTCAAGGGCTTTCGGTTCGAGCGGATGGTGAGAGGGCCGGGTCGCAAGTTTCGAGCCGATGGTGTCCTGTACGAAGCTTGCGAATCGCGGAGTAAAGGCGTCGCATATGAATGGAGAGACTGCTACGGCGACATAATAGCGAGAGAAATTCAGGATGAACAAGGCCGTATAAGTCTATTCGTCACTGCAGAGATGACCCAGGAACTTCGTGATGCCCTCGTTACCGCGTGGGTGATCAGAATATGGTCTGAGCTGTCAAATGGAAACAAGTCGGCGACTCGTCTCATGATGGTGGGCTCTCGTCCATAAAACACTTCAAGTGTACAGTTCTCGCTGATGTCAGTCACAGACAAGTGCGGCACGCGGACAAAGGATGTTGGGAGTTTGATCGTGAGTACATCTATGGCCTACACTAGGATATTGGGACCTAATGGTGTAATTAGGCGTTTGACGATACCATGAGCTGACTGTATTCTGGTTCCAAGTTATCGGCGTTGTTGTTTTTGCTTTTACACGTTTATTCGAAAGTCAGGCTGGCCCATTTCGATCACATTTCATCAGGAGAGGCTTCCTTTCCCGCTTCGTAGAGCAGGGCGGAATTTGCTACGAATCCATCTAGTGAAGCAGTATCCATTATAGGATCTTGTTTACATAGCTAATAAATATCCCACAAGCTAATCTTGCCGTCTTTCGCCCCTGCCGCAATCCAATGTGTTTTTCTCGCTGTAGCTATTCGTTGCTCTTTGACGCTCAGCCCTGTTCGAATCAACGACCCCGTCCGCGTGCTTGAACTCCCCGTGCGTTGACTATTGTCAGACGTAGAGTTTTCCTCCTCTGTCTGATCCGATATTCTAACATCAGCAAATGCAACGGCGAAGCATCCGACTTCATGCCACTTTAAAACAGCGAGCTCTTTCATGGTTTTTGTAGAGTACACTCGCACTTTTGAATCCCATCCCGCAGTGGCAAAGATCCTTCCATCGGATCGTATGTCTAGACTCTGTTGTCCGGAGTGTTTGGTGTTGATAGCTTTGAGCGGATCTTTCCACGCAATGCCCTTACGAGAAGACTTCAGCCCCTGTGACGATGAAGCCTTCAGGCCAGTAGATAGAAATGACTTCGCCTTAGGTTCTTCGTCTACTATCTCTACTACACGCTCGGTGCTTTCGGGAGGTACAGTGTCTTCCAGAGGAAAGAACAGATCGGTGGGAATAGGATGTTTGGCGATGATAGAGTCGGCGCTAGACGTGATGAAGTAGTCGTTATAGACGCTCAACGACAGGACAGGCTGTGAATGGGCCTGGGAATGGTACGTTGTGACCCATTGGTCATCGGACTCAAGACGGTGCATAGTTGCGTAACCATTTTCAAAGGCAGCAATGAGCGTGAGAGCGTCTTTGTGATGCAGGAGAGCAAGGCACATGGCCATGCCCGTTTTATCACCAGCCTTGATGGTGTGAATTCGTCTTTGCGAAGGTAATTGGTAGATGTCGATCTATGAATATCAGCCCTGATCACAATATGGTAGAGGTTCTCCATACAGCATCTGAGTGCAAAGTATTAGGCACCGCGATCAGCACCTCAGAGGCGGTATCGATGTTGCCAGGCGCACTTGAACAGATGGCAAAAGCGCAAAAGTTCAAGGTATTGACCTCAAGGAGATGTAACATCCATGGTTGCGGTCTTGGTGCTGCAACTTCTTCCACTGGCAATGCTGTGCTGAGGTGCTCCTCATCTGCCTCGCCAAGTTTCCACACTATGAGCTTCAAATCACGACCATGCCTGCAAACTGTTGTCAGCAAAGGCATTCTCGAGTTGATATTGATTTTCGACGGAGCGATTACGTGATGATTTTGTCGTCACCCCAGCCGCCAACTCCTAGTAGAGCCTTTTCGTGGGCACGCCAAACGGCTCGTGGGCGCATTATTGTGAGGTCCCATAGCACCACGAAGCCATCCGAATCGCCTGTAATGAGGCGCTCATTGGACCTAATGAATGCTGCTGTGTGAATTTGAGATTTATGTCCGCGCAATATGGATTTCGGTGTTGGTGTTGAAGGATCCATGGTTTTGATGAGTATGTGTAGGTTGTCATGATGAGGAATTGGAAGCTGCGCTGCTTTGGTTGGGCCAGTTTTCTAGAAGTCGCTGTGGGACAATCATTGTATGAAGCCCATATTCATCAACATTAGCCTGTCGGCCATGTCCAGACTGACGAATAATTCATTCAATTACACTTCGGAGATCATATCAGCCACAGAAAGAGTTTCTTTTTATTCTGTGTTGTTTCGGACGAGATCTGAGAAGGCACATAGCTGGCTGATCAATACGGACAAACGGATCATCCAATGAATCTCTGAACACTTAGACAACGGAGTAGACGACATGGTAATTTAGGTATCTGCAATCTAGATACATTAGTAACTTATGCATGAACAATTTGTATATGTCTCTAAAAATGCCATCTATTCCAAACTGGAAATATCTTTTCTGAGGTAGCACTTTTATGTGCTACCATTGGCTGTCAAGCCCGAGTTATTTTGGGCTATTGCTTTCGTCCTACCTATCACTTACAACCGAATTCCCAAAATTGTTGTATATTTCGGGCGTACCCGTGCCACTCAACTCGTGTAGCTCACTCGCATCGTACATCGTCTGATGGGGCTGACTCTTGCCGCAGGAAAAGACATCGTGGTGCACGAGCAACATTGACAGCCGATTCAATAAGCGAAGCCTGCGGATGGATGGAAGCCATGTTCGATCCTAATACGAGCATCCCTCTCTTCCGGATTCCGGTAATTTCAGGCATTAGCATGTAAGCCGAGTTTCATCAATCCTGGGCGCCACATGTGTAATCCATACATATAACACTCGAGTCATACCTGACAGCCAAATTCCCTCAAGGAACCAACTCCAGGGTTGTCCTATAAGCTCCGTCGCCAACTTTGGTGGATAGTCTTGCATGCATCTGTCATGCAGGTTGAGCCATATGGCCGGACACTTGGATCTTGTAGCGCCCAGCATCATCACGCCTCTTTGAACGCATGCTCCTTTCTGTTCTTAATAATAAGACAGGAAAGAAGTGAAATTGAACACAGACGCCATCCGGTGTAATGGTCTCAGTACCAGCCAGCCTGCTCTCCGAATCACAGCCGAGAGAAGAGGCTACTTGTACTCGCACGACAGCCGGAGTACGCTCCGTGATTATTGGCTTGCGTACCTTGGTTAAGGTCATGGTGTTTCGCCATATAACCGTGATGCAGCGCTCGGAATCTGGCGGGCACATTCAGCTCTGAGGAGAAGCTCAGACACCTAATGCTGACCGGCATCGATGCACTCTTGAATTTATATTCATCAAGTCCCGTCCGGTTCGTTCTCTTGTTCATGGTCGTTCATTACTACACCCCGCCTTATCGCTCCTAGTCCTTACTCCGACTGTGGAGCCACAACGACAATCCCGAACCTGCGACGGTTTTCTATACCGAGCCCGGGGTAGGGAAACCGGACCAGAAGCCGTGGCCTGGCCCAAGCAATGATTTCACTCCATGCTTCCGTTCGATCTTCTAGAATCTTTCGACTTGTAGGTGGCCCGTCATCTGGCCTCAAATGTAACAGCAAAAGCATTCATTCTGCAACACCAAACCTCCAAAGCTGTCCCGTCTACTTCAGCAATCTGAACGGGAAATCCCACACAATTGCCCTGGCCTCCTGTAGAGAGCCAGGTAGTTTATAGTGTCTGCTCAAGCAAGCCCAAATGACATCGCCGTTCTTGGTGTCAGTTTCGGTGCGGCGATGCAAAATGAAGATTCCAATGAAAGGCAGACAATGCCGTTCCCTGTGGAATGGCAAGGTTATTCACCAGGACCCTATGCGACCGACAACAACAACCTCGACTTTGAGATGTTCGATTTTGAAGTTCAACGGGATTCACATATGGGGGCGACACCGATCTCCGAACCCCCGAACATCAGCCAAGACCCTACAGATCTATCCATGGAAAATCCCAGAGAGATGACTCTTCAAAGTCCTATGCCGGTGTCAAATCCGACTCCAGTCAAAGGAAAAAGAGTCCGAACAGGATGTCTTACATGCCGTGAGAGACATCTCAAGTGTGACGAAGCCGTGCCCGATTGCATGAATTGCCGAAAGCGAGGCCGTGAATGTAAAAGGGGAGTACGTCTTAACTTTCTGGATGTCAACCTCCATCGACCTGCCGCTATACCAAGTCCCGGAGGCTGGGAAGGTATGAAGTCCGCCAAGATGAATGACTTGTGCTAATCGAGTCGCAGTCGAGTTCCAAGATGAATCGCGGGACATTGCTTCAGAATATCAGGGCGGACTTGGACGATATGCGCCTTACGCTTCTGAAGTTGTTGAAGACAGCGATGACCGGTACGAAACAGTGAATTCAGCCACCGCAGCTCATATTCAAGGTATAGATGCATCAGCTGATAGACTTCAACCTGGTGCGCAACACCATTTCAACTATTCTCAGGCTAACGCCGCAGCTGGACCTTCAGAAAACTCAAGGTTTAAAACAGACACCGGTATCAAGCTTGAGCTTAACGAAAACGAACATGGGACGCTGAGCGACGCGTCCCATATAGCCACACCATCGTCATCAACAAAGGCTGTTGTAACTCCACGAGCAGAAGTATTTCCAGAGCAGCTGATGGCGATGAGGAACCGTCCTCTGGCACAGCAAACTTCAACAGAAGAGGCGGAAAACTTGGTGATACCCCAGCTGGACACACCGCCTCGAATTCAAAGGCCGCTCGTCGAACAAGCCTTCGAGGCTGACCATGTGCAACCTTCTTCAGCAACCCAAAGCAACGAGCCGGTGGGCCGCAACATATTGACATCAGCCGAAGAAATCCATTACATGCAAGTCTTTGTCGAAGAAGTTGCTGTTTGGATGGATTCGTTCAACCGGGAGAAACATTTCACCCGAAGCATTCCGTATCACGCTCTGAGGTCGACAATGCTCCTCAATGCTCTTCTGGCATGCGGTGTCAAACACACTTCTCTAGCTGCTCCGGAAAATCATGAGAAAGCGCTGTTCTACTACAACACCGCGACCACGCAGCTCCTTCGAAGTCTCCAGAACCCTGATCGAAATACTGCCGAGTGTGCCACGACAGCGATCGTTCTGAATGTATACGAGATTATGTGCGAAAAGCCTGCCCAGCGTATGAGCCACATAGCAGGTTCGCGAGCTCTTGTACGCGAATGTGGATGGGACGCCAGGAGTACAGGGATTGGACTGGCCTGCTTCTGGTTGAACATAGGAATTGAAGTTCTCAATTGCCTGGCAACAAATTGGCAGACAACGTGGAGTCCCGACGAATGGGGAATGAGCCTTGGATCTCATAACAATAACCACGATGACGAAGATGAAGACGAGCAGACATGGGTACACCGTGCGCTCTACATCATTGCAAAGGTTGCGAACTTCCGAGCGACTGCGTCCCGACCCGATGACATTAGCCCCCATAACGAACAAATGTGGGTAAGAAATCGCCTTTCTCAGTGGCATGAGCTTAGAAACCTCTGTGAAGGTTGGAACATCCATTGCCCAAGAAAGATGCGACCCTTTGGTTATGTGAAAGCGGAAAAGTCGACAAGCAAGTCGCTATTTCCCGGCATATGGTACGTGAAATATCATCCCGATTGCTAAAGCATGTGATTAATCCGTGCTTAGGATGATTCAGCGGGAGGCAACAATAGGCCAACTGCTTTCTCATACTGCGCATTGCATCCTTTCACAGACGCATCCCCTGGAATCCCCAGCGTCTTCGCAGAGGCTGCGGTTCTTGCAGCTGCAGCATGCCTATCAGGTCTGCGGCATTGTCGCCCATACCACAGACAAGGGGGTTGCTACAGTTGCGATCCGTTGCTTGGCAATTGCAGCTGCTGTGCTGAGGAACCCAAATGAACAAGACGAGATCCTCGAGATCCTTGACAGGTTCAATAGCACAAATGGCTGGCGTTTGGGTGCCGTTGAGATGGAACTCAAGAGAGAATGGGGTTGGGAGCGTATGAAGATGCCCACCTCGAGCCCAAAAACAGACAACAGCCAGGATTCGGTAATATCAGCGGTCCGAAGAGCCTCCATGTCCTTGACACCGTCGAGAATTTTGACACCGCCTGTCATGGGCCCTGTGGGAACGAAAACACCGGTCAACCCATTGAGCTTTGCCGATTTCAAGCTACCCAACCATCCGTACCAGAATTGGTATGAGCCACCAAGTCGATCGAGCTCGTTCGATCCACCACCATCATAACGACTCAAATGCTCCCAGGGCGTACGTACCTAGTTGACAAGGAATGCCCTGTCATGCCAAAAGTTGGAAAATGAGATATTCATGGCGAAAAAAAAAGGGTAAAATAGACGGCGTTGGGATATCTATTGCTTTTCTCTATATTGCGGGAATTGGAGTTCTTTTTGTCGGTTCAATAGAATATCAGGGTAGATTCTTCGATATCTTCAAGGGGCACGCTGTGTCGTTTAAGAGCTTCCTCCAGGCTGGAAATTCATACTGTAGCCTCCGGTCTTCTCGTCCTTGACCATCTGGAAGTTGTTTGTGCTCAATCCAAATGGCTTCAAGATGCCATTTCCAAGGTCTTTCAGCTTACCCCACATCTCGCCCATCTCCTTCTCTTGTGCTGCTTTGACCCGGGGAGGTAAGTCTCTTAATTGCTTCCGAACTACTCGAAGGTCTGCTGGAGCTAAGCTCTCAGGCTTCGCAGCGAGGGCTTTACAGTCTTCTTCTGCGCCGGCAAGATTATGCCACCCGCCAGCTTCTGAACGGCCGCGAGCCCTTCGCATAAGAGCTTTGGATCGAATGCGCTGAATATTGGCCTGAAGTGTCTTGAGCTCCTCATCATCGGTACTGGGAATTGGTGCGGCACGTGAAGCACCACTGCTGATTATTTCCTCTTCGACATCATCGTCTTCCTTCTTCTCTTTCTTTTCATCAGACTTTTTGCCCTCAGGACTCAGTCGAGGGTCACTTTGCTCAAGCTTCTCCAGGGCTTTTAGGGAATCAGATGCTGACTTTATGGCCTCTTTCCAGTCCTCAAGTTGGATATGGCAGGCGGCAATGTTACTGTAGATGACTGCTCGTGGATAATGTAGGTATTTAGGACAGGAGTTGATTGCATCGTCGTATTTTCCCAAAGCATCTTGGTACTTCTTGGCGGCGAACAACGTGTTCGCTTCATCTTTGGATGCAGTGGACTCTTTTACTAAAGCCTGCATGCGAGTCTTAGTAGATAATGATGGGATAGAACACGAGGCCACTCACTTCTTCCTCTTCTGGGGTAAACCTGAGTTCCTGTCCATCTGTAGCATCGGCGTTGTCTTTCGCTTTTTCGACGTCCGGCGACTTGGCCACATCATCTTTGCTAGGCTCGGTTGTGCTCATGTTCGTTGGCAAGGACAAATGACGTATGTTATCACAACGAAGATCAAACACTCAAACAAAAAGACAAAATTGTCTTATTGATACAAGCAGGATTGGCCAAAGCAGTGCAAAAACTGATTGCAAGTTGCGGGGACTGGTACTGGCCGTGTTGCGTTGAGAGACAGAAACAAATGGATGTTTATGAAGAAACATTAAAAGCACAATCTCAAGAGCCTCATGAAATGATGAATTCCATCTGGTTCCTGCCCGCACTGCCCACCTTAATCATTTGCTAGACTACAGTGGGCTTAGTGGATACATACTGACCCGCCGCGGGGTATTCAGCGGAATGATTCCCTGTCGATTTACTGATCGGCAAGCAAAAAGTTGCCCCGCGCTTGTTTGGTTCCGTTCGTTCTTATTCCGTTATCAAAATCTCGCGATCGCCTCGTCTTTCTTTTCGTCAACATCTCTCTTGCTAATAGTACCGGCTCACCATAGCAAGTTCTGATCTGCCGTGACTTTCTGTTCTGATACCGCACCCCGATACCCATTCGCTGTCTTTACTTGCAACTCTTGGATTCCAGACGCAATGGCTCCTCGTACTGAGTATGTTTATCCTCCTTGACTCATATTGAAGCATTGTTTGATCGCCAGAGTTATACTGAGCTGACCTCACTCTCTAGTTTCCCCCCTGTTCGGGCTTGTCTTTTCGACATGGATGGCCTCCTTCTCGACACCGAAGACATCTACACCAAGTGTGTCAACATCATCCTCGAAAAGTATGGCAAGGGAACTCTCCCGTGGTCTATCAAGGCCAAGCTTCAGGGACGCCCTGGTCCTCAAGCCAACAAGATCTTCCACGACTGGGCTCAGCTCCCCATCACCTCCGCAGAGTACGTCGCCGAGAACACCATGCTCCAGAGGCAGCTGTTTCCAGACACAAAGCCTCTCCCTGGCATCGTCGACTTGCTTGGCCACCTAGGCCGAACCCGATACTGGGAGGTAAAGGATGGTGCTACTACTGAAGCTAAGGACAAGTCCGGCAGCGAGCCTCAACGGGTTCATATCGCTCTGGCCACTAGCTCTCATCTTGGTAACTTCCGTGTCAAGACAAGCCACCTCGAGGAGCTTTTTGCTGTTTTCCCTTCCCACCGCCGTGTCCTTGGAGACGATTCCCGCCTGACTCCCGGCCGCGGAAAGCCTCTGCCCGACATCTTCCTTCTCGCTCTGAAGACCATCAACGACAGCCTTCCTGCTGGCGAACGACCTATCACCCCCGAGGAGTGCCTTGTTTTCGAAGATTCAGTCCCTGGTGTCGAGGCTGGTCGTCGTGCCGGTATGCGCGTGATCTGGTGCCCTCACCCGATGTTGAAGAAGGAGTACGATGGACGGGAGGCTGAGGTCCTCGCTGGACGCACTGGTGAGGCTGGAGAAGTCGATCTCCATCAAGTTGGTGAGATTGACGATGGTTGGGCCGAGTACATGCTCAGTCTTGCTGACTTCCCCTACGAAAAATTCGGCATCGTCGTACCTCCTGTCGAGGTTGAGAAGGAAGATTGCATGAAAGAGGTGCCCCAAGAGATTGTTGCTGAAGTCTAGGAGACTGAGCCGATCATTCCTGGCGGGCCGCTGGTGATGAAGAAGTCGCTGAACTTTAGTCGGCGCAACTAGATGCATGGTGAATGCGTCATTTTTCGTGTTATCTGGCGAATGACCATCGATGAGGATATGACGAGAACAGGACGGCTTAGACAAAAAGATGTGGCGTAGAATTTGCTCTTATGCAGTTGGCTTTTTGCGTTCGTCACACACGATAATAGATAATGAATCTGAGGACATGATACCCAAGCAAGAATCCATTACCTATTTCTATGTGACATGTCATGGCTGGACCCTGTAAACTTACGGCAATAGGAGCTTATCAAGATCAATAATTTAGACGTGCGGTACGTCTCCCCGCGTTTCAACCCCAGGATGAGCTGCGAGTGTGGGGAGAGGAATAAGACCACCTTGAGTTGAGAGTAATACCACCAAGGTCAGCTTCATGTGCTTCGATCAACGTGGCACCGTCTGTGTCATGCCATTACAGAGACAGCATGCTCCCGGGGTTTCCCTATGTATGCTATATGAACCCAATGTTTCTCACGATGCTGTTCAATTGTTGTTCATCATCAATGTCACCCGATGGCTTCAATATTGTCCTTGCCGCTTCATCTTATCGCTGATATTCTGCGTCTTTTGGATAACATCCAAGAGCTTCCTCCTATTCTACTGAGCCATCGAATATTTTACTCTGCCCTTTTAGATACACCAAGTCTGCCTGTGGATATTATTCGCAGTCAGATTCCCGACAACTTGCTTCCGTTGGCCTTTACCGCATTCAAGTCGCAAAAGTCGGTAAGGGAAACAAACGGTATAAGCGTGCAAGAGTTTCTGACTCATGACTACAACAATTCTGTGCGGAATGTGGACGGTAGTCAACTTCACTTGACAGTAAGTGAAGCCACTGAGGTTGTCAGAGTCAATGATGCATTGTCGGGCTTGAGGGATGAGTTTGCTCTGTGTTCCCTGAGGAGGCTTCACCGTGTAAACCAAGATGCGTCCCTTGGGAGTGGCCAAGGTCTCTCTCCTGGCGAGTACTATCGAATCTCTCGCGCATTCTATCGTTTTCAGATATATCGAAACCTTTTCCTCGACAAGGAGCAGGAAATTGATCTTTTCCCTTCTTATGACGATGAAGAAGACGAAGATTTGAGCTTCGACAACGAACTGAAAAAGCTGTTCTTCGATCGGCATTCACCATGGGTCAATGAACAACTGGCTTGTGTTTACGATTTTCTTGAGACAAGAGTAACGGGTGGTAAGTTTGACACTTTAGTAAATCTTTCATATGCAGACTTCAAATGAGTTATCCTAACTTGCGCCCTGACTATAGTCATGCTGACCATCCTGTCCGCAACCCCAGGCTATCGGCAAGTGGTTGTCAATGGCTTCCAATGGGGAGAGAATCTTACCGAATGGCTAGCTGAAAAGACTCAATCGTTCGAGGAGCAGAAATGCGTGAGTTGCAACATTTATCTGGGACTACGTGAACTGTAGATGCTCACTGACGATATTCTAGATGTCCCTCGATATTACTCGTCTCAGTCAGCTTCTCAAGGCCTCAACCTACGAAGAGTGGCAAGCGTCACTTGGTGAGGCTATTAGTCCTTGCCAAAACAAGCTTGAAGAAGATCTTGAGGAGTTCAACCGTGGAAGAAAGCCGAATGGACATGAAGAATTCTGGCGAGCTGAAGATATTGAAAGGCTAGCCAGGGAAGTTGACACTGACGAAGCGTTTACCGATGATCAACCGAGACAGACATGGATGAAAGTACACTATGATCATGCGCATGAGAGATATCGCTTAGGAGAGCACACGTTTGCCCCAATGAGGTTTATATTCGGCATGAGGGGAATCGGTTATGTCATGTGGGATGCAGAGAGAATGAAGAATGATGCCTGTAAAGTCACCTTGAATAAGGCGTACCAAGGCGATGCTGTTTTCTAGGCGGCTCGTATGAAAGTCGACTTTGGAATTAGGGATATTTGTGAATCAACAGCTTTTTGTGTCGAACTGGGGTACCTTGGATCCTCAATGTCAGTTCAAGCCCTCAGATTAACGTCTCTGCTCCTGATTGTATGCCGACGAGGAGTCTTTTTATGCTCGCAGGTCAGGGCATCTGAAAGGATATGGCCAGGACGGAGACTTTGATCTCAAGTGAGAAACATGGCCATACAAGCTGAGGCTCACTGGGAATGAACTTGGTAGGCAAGTAACTATCTTGAGGAGCTTGAATTGATGACTGTGATTTCCCCAGATTGTGGAAGAAAGTGTATCAGCCTTTCCTAATCAAGAAGTTTCGCGAGATGGCTAGTAAGGGAGTATCGCATTTGGTTGCCGGAATCAGTCGGAGTAAGGTGGGCAAAGAATACTTGTAGAGCATAGTGGTCCATCATGGTGGCGGGGATCAAATGGACACTGCCTGTCCTGTTCTCTGTACTCTGGACGATCCCATCACTGTTCATGTTAGATCAGATGCTCGGCAAAGGCAATGATACTATGCAGTGCAATACACCATTACTTCAAAATGATCCGAGATAAGATTCTTCTCTTGGAAAAAATAGCCGTCATGTCGCATTCTGAGTGTATCAAAACCTGCCAGTACGGCCCGGTTCAGCAACCGAACCAAGAGTTGGAGTTTATGAGGCCTACTCTGTATAAAACACCTTCATGTCCACTTCGGCTCCGTGAGATCACCAGACTCTTTCGGCACAGGAATTCTCCATACAAATGCTGACAAACTTTGCCGGGGCACCATCATGAGAAGTCCAACTGCCTCTGGCAATTTTCCAGGCTTCTCATGATGAGATGGAATGGATGGAAGCCATCTCCACAGTTTTCCCCAGAAACTCGCCCCAGAAGCCAATCGAGTTGACAACCACCTCGGCATACCAACCCGTAAAGAGTAATAGAAATGCACGAATTCTTTACATCTATGCCTCGGGGAGCAAGAAAATACAAGACCTAAGTTTAGGGTGACAAAATAAACTCCATAAAAGGTATCCTAAACTCATCCTAAATTTATACCAAGTCACCTAAATCTTTTTATCATTTATTTCTTCCCCTAGCCATCGGTTCCCGGGGCCGGATCCTAATTCCCGATCTCCAACTACCGGAGCCGTAAGTCAACCCCGGCCCGGTCCCGGTCTTTACCGGTTCCTCCAGAGGGCATTTTCAGTGAGGAAACGCTTAATTTACAGTGGTCCTCTCCTCCACATCCCCGACCTCGCAGCTCCATGACCCCAATTGGAACCGGAATTGGGAGGCTATTCAACATGACTGGTCTCGATTGAAGCAATATTTCAATACGGACATAATGCAACGGTTAAGGTACGCTCGGCCGGTGGGGTTACCAAGGTTTAGTGCGCCCATGTGACGTTTGTAGGAGCTTTCGTGGATCTTTTCGTTTTTATTTACTTGGACGTAGACCGGAACTTGTTTGTAGCTCAGTCCTCATCCCTTTCAACTTCTTTCTCTTCCCTTTGACTTGATTCAAGTTTTCATCGCCAAATTCATAATATACCGACATAATGGCTGAGAGCTACCACAAGGAGGTCATCTCTGGCGTATGTGCCCCTCATTCATGAGGCACCTCATCTGCCCCTCACTGAGATTCGCGATGCTAACATTGAACTCAACAGCTTAAGGACAAGAGCCTTTTCATCCAGGATGCTTTCATCGACGGAAAATGGGTCGCCAAGGAGAACAAGTTTGATGTTTTCGGTTTGTAATACCGTCATCATGAGTACCGACTATCCAGAAGCTAATTGGAACCTCAGAGCCCTCCACTGCCACCGTCCTCGGCCAAGTTGCCAACTGTACGCTAGAAGATTTCCAGACTGCCATCAAGAGCGCCGATGCTGCCCAGACAAAGTACTTTGATAGCACAACTGGTGCCAGCCGTGGCGCCCTTCTGAGGAAGTGGTATGACCTGGTTCTCTCTCACCAGGAGGACCGTACGTTGTCTCTTTCAAATATTCCCAATCGCACACTAACATGACCTTTAGTCGCCAAGATCCTCTCTCTCGAGAACGGAAAGACGTACGCCGAAGCACTGGGTGAGGTTATCTACTCTGCCAGCTTCATCTCCTGGTTCGCTGAGGAGGCCACTCGATCTTATGGTGTCACTATCCCCTCATCCTCTCCTCACACCACCCTCATGACCATCCGCGAGCCCGTTGGTGTTTGCGGCATCATCACCCCCTGGAACTTCCCCGCCGCCATGATCACCCGCAAGATCGCTCCCGCTCTGGCTGCCGGATGCTCCGTCGTCATCAAGCCCCCCTCCGAGACTCCCTACTCCGCCCTTGCTTTCACCAAGCTCGCCATTGAGGCCGGTCTTCCTCCCGCCACCATCCAGGTTCTTCCCACTCGCGACCGTCAGGCTGCTACCGAGTTGTGCACAAACCCTCTCGTCAAGAAGATCTCTTTCACTGGTTCTACTGGCGTTGGAAAGTACCTTGCTAAACTTGCTACTGGCACCTTGAAGAAGGTCAGCCTGGAGCTTGGTGGCAACGCCCCTTTCATTGTGTTTGAGGATGCTGATCTTGACCTCGCTGCCGAGGGCGCCATGTTTTGCAAGTTCCGATGCTCTGGTCAAACCTGTGTCTGGTAAGTTGAGACATTCTACGTGAAGATTAGACATAGCTAACTCATTTTCAGCGCCAACCGACTCTACGTCCAGAAGAGTGTCGCCAAGGAGTTCACTGCCAAGCTCGTCGAAAAGGTCAACGCTCTGAAGATGGGCGGTGGTCTAGACAAGTCCACCACCCAGGGTCCCCTCGTCAACAAATCTGCTGTCGACAAGGTCAAGGAGCACATTGCCGATGCCACCTCCAAGGGCGCCAAGATCGCCACTGGCGGTAGCACCCCCGATAGCCCTGGATTCTTCCACCAACCCACCGTCCTCACTGGCGTCACACAAGAAATGGCCGTCGCCAAAGACGAGACATTCGGCCCCCTTGCCCCTGTCTTTGAGTTCGAGACCGAGGAGGATGCCATCCGTCTGGCCAACGACACCGAGTTCGGTCTCGCTGGATACTTCTTCTCCAAGGACATCAGCCGTGTCATGCGTGTTGCCCACAAGTTGCAAGTCGGAATGGTGGGTGCTAACACAGGCAAGATCAGTGCTGCTGAGGCACCTTTCGGCGGTGTCAAGGAGAGCGGCTACGGAAAGGAGGGCAGCCTGTACGGAATGGCTGAGTACCAAAACATCAAGTCAATTACCATTGGCAACCTCAACAATTAGAGTGGGAGTTGCATAAAAGCATTTGAGCGAGCAAAACGGGATTTGTTTTATTTAGTATGATAATGACGAGGTGGGAAAGCCTCAGAGATTAACGACCAAGATCAAAAAGCATGATCTCTTAAATAAAAACAGTAAAAAATCAGTCTTTATTGTGACATCGTCTGTTCAAAATTGCCCACTGATCATCAAGCCAATTGTGTAATGTACTGATCGAAATGGACTGCCTCTCGTAAGCACCTAATCTCCTGCCATCGACACAAGTCCGTATCTTGGTGCTAGTTTGTTGAACCTAATGTCTATTCTGATTGTTCATGACGATTATGGTACCAACTGGGCTGTAAAATGCCATGTTATCCCCGCATTTAGGATCTCCAACTATCCATGCATACAGTACGTCTACTCAGCTTGTTGATTTTGTTTACACTGATTGGCTCTTCTCTATGCTTGAATTATTCGGTTAAATTATTCGGCCATTCGTGACCTCTGAACCACTATGAAGAGTATCCTACAGAAGTATCCTATCATCAGTTCGTCTGGAGAGAGCATCTCATGTTCTGACGCACAATTGAATCGTCAGTAAGCAAAATCGTTGTTGTCTTGTTCGGGTTTCTTCCCGACCAAAAGCTATTTCTTAACGAGAGTTTCCCACGACACCTTGAACTAACTCTACTCCAAAGTGTCTATCAACCACGACCAAAACAAATATTCGATATGTCCACCAACGGAAATACAGTCAATGGCATCATGGGGGAAGATGGACATGCCCGTCTTTTCAAACCATCTGCGCCTCCTTCTCTTGATGCCTTCAAGAAACTTTGCTCTCAGAAAGCCACCAAAGAAGACTATCCCCTAGCTACAGACATCAAGGAGAACGTGCCTGTTTACAACCTTTCCAACTTTTCAACCCTCACTGGAAGCCAAAAGTCTGCTCTCCAAGACGAATGGTACAAAGTCCTGTTGTATGGCCCTGGTGTCTTTGTCACAGCTGGTCTTTACACCAACATGGACGTGATCAACAAGTCAACAGCTGCCTTTAATAATATTATCAAGAGGGAGAGCCAGGGTACAAGAACAGCAGGCGATCACTTCGCAAGTGCTGGTAAAAATGATCGGATTTGGAACTCGTTCAGTAAACATGGCCTTCAAGACCCAGACTCCTTCTTCAACTACTTTTCGAATCCCTGCCTCGACCTCATCTTCTCTTCATGGCTTGGTCCGGGGTATCGTATCACTACTCAGGTCAACAATGTCCGGCCTGGAGGGCAGCCTCAAGTTTCCCACCGCGACTATCACCTGGGTTTCATGTCTACTGAGACATGTGGAAAGTATCCCAGGGCAATGCAAGTTGCAGGTCAATGCTTGACCTTGCAAGGCGCTATAGCACATGTTGACGTACCCCTTGAGAGTGGTCCGACGAGACTCTTACCGTTCAGTCAGGCTTTTGCGCCTGGCTACATGGCGTATCGCCTTCCTGAGTTTAACGAGTTCTTTCTGGACAATCATATCTCACTTCCGCTAGAGAAGGGCGACGGTTTATGGTTCAACCCTGCTCTTTTCCATGCAGCGGGCGAGAATAAGTCTGAGAACATCAATCGTCTTGTCAATCTGGTCCAGATCAGCAGTGCATTTGGTAAACCGATGGAAACAATCGACGCTTTGCCACTTGTGGAGAGTACATGGGACGTCTTGACTACTGCCTATAAAGCGCAGAGCCTCAGTGATGAAATCCAGATGTTTATCACTGCTATTGGAGAAGGCTATCCTTTCCCAACAAATTTGGACAACAACCCTCCTAAAAACGAGAACATGGCGCCTGATTCGGAGCAAGACATCATTAGAGATGCATTGGTTAATGGGAAGAGTAGAGAGGAAGTTTTGACTGATCTTGAAAGCTTCCGTCTAAGAGTCAAAGCCTAGTTGGAACATCTGTGTATTACTATTAGTACTTTTAGCGGCTATACCGCATAATCCTATTTGTAGAGACTTAGCCTAGATGCCCTCGTATACTATGCTTTGTCCTCGGTGCTCTGAAGATTGACGATATTTCGCGCCGTCTTCTTCAGATATCCCCTGAAGCTCTCGAAAGTGACAGGATCGTGACCTTGAAGCCATCGACAGTGGACTTCCACATCATCCTTACCAACCTGTATGGAAACCTTGAAAGCAAACTCGCACTTTACGTCTACCACCTTTTGGTCTTCAGTCTCCCCTCTTTGTTTTCTTCGACGCCAAGCTCGTGCCCAGACGCGACCTGCTGCTCGTCCAATCCCTTCCAGGCGCTCAGTGTCCCATTCCCAGGTGATCAAGTCCAGCTTCTCAAGTTCAGATCGAAAACTATCCGCAAAGTCACCGATTTTCTCTTGGAGAGGTATATCAACAACTTTCTCTTCTGTGATCTCCGGAAGCACGTTTTTGGAAACTGCTGTCTTGATTCCGCGTGCAACTGCCTGGGATGGTCTCAAGTTTCCGAAACTCCATGCAACAGCCCATCTTCTTGTTTTGTTGCCCTGAACAAACTCTGTGACAGCATAATTGTCGATTTTGTGTTCTTTCAATTTGTCCACAAACTCAATCAAGCTTGTGAGAAACCCGAACATGGATGTATACCACTGTACACGTTCTTGAAGTACGAGCGACTCTTTGAGCATGCGGTCAACAAAGGCGATCTCGCCGCCGTCGGTCACCATCTCGATCTTGGCTCCTGTACATGCCGTAAAAGGAGGACGAGACTTTTTTCTCGCACTCTCTAGTAGCTCTTCTTCGGATTTGTAGAAAGGCGGATTTGACATGGTGAAAGAAATGTTGTTGATATTTAGATCATCGAGCGGAATGAGAGCATCGGTTGGCTTCCGCCCCATGACTTTGATCCTGTTCCCGAGTTCATTCAGTATCACGTTCTTGTAAGCATACTCAAGGCTTTTTGGGTCGATGTCTGTTTTATTAGCGGTGCTCTGGTCAACGGGGTGGTGAAAGGATTACCAGTAGCGATGAACTCCCAATCACGTTCAGTGCAGCCCATCAAAGGATATATGCAACTTGCGCCAGTACCAATGTCTAACCCAACGATTTTCCTATCTTGTTTCTCATAAGAAGTGCTGTCGAGGAGGTCTTTTAGCCACAATACATAGTTGTGCCGGTTGAGGACCTGCAGACGCGTTAGATCGTAAGACGCGTCAAGAAACGAGATACAACTCACAGGAGGGCATAGTCGATCATCAGGAAGTTCAAGCTTCAGTCCAAAGTCCAGCTTGAGAAGTGACTTCGTCAATTGCATAACACATTCCGGATCATTGAAGAAATCAGTTTTGTGTTTGTTCCACCTGCGATGATTCATTAGATGGAATTCTCGTGCATTTTGAGGATAGAATAATTCACAATCGTGCGAAATCTGCATCTTGAAGAGCGAGCTGCTGAAAGTCTGGCGCTTTGGAATATAGCTCGGTATAGTGACTATCTCGAGATTTTGCGTCTTCTGGAGGGGCTTCAAAGGTCAACGTTTGATCGACAGGGAGCGACTGACCCCGAAGGTCTTGTGAGGCTTTGCGTTTGCCGCCCATTTTGACGATGGACTTTGTTTTTCTTGGGTCATATAAAGGATTCCCTTTTGTGAGTATTCCTTTAGGTGCTTTTGATGGGTGTAAGTTGTGATACCTGCAACTTTTGTGATCGAGATGAGTTTGCAGGGGATTAGTGATATCAGTGGAGAGATCTCACAAGTTAGCGATGGCTTGCAGGCACAGACTCCTATAAACACAAGCAAGCAGCCCATCTCATTTGCGATCCGTTGTTATGGACCAGAGAACTCTCATCAATATATTGTCAAACATACATTTGAAATTCATGAGATCATAGAAGTAGATAAACTGCAATCTTACAATCAAAACCATTCTGTAAATGCAATCGCCTCGGCTTCGTTTCAATCATATCCTCATCTTATTAATGTACCTTTCATGTCATCATAGTGGCACCGTCTTACCACAGTAGAACCCTCCATCGCCAGCCCTCGAGGAGCTTCATGTCCTTCTCATCGATATCCGGATCACCGTGCTCGATTCTCGCTGTCAGTTTCTTAAGCCTCTTCTGCACAGTCCGAGCTACTCGAATTGACACTTCATTAGAGAACACAACGAGCACGGCAAATACAAAGAAAGCCAATTTGGCGAAGCGGCCTTTGCCAAGTATTCCGTTCTTGATGTGCTCGAGAAGACCCTTTGACTTTTTGAAGGCGTACTCGGTATCGTTGGCTGATGAGTGAGAATCTTCGTCATCGTCGTTTCGTCGCCAGAAGCGGCGGATGAAGGGAATGAACGTAGCACTGTCGAGGTTAGTCGATTGCTCATGTCCAAGCAAATGGGACGTATAAGTTACTTACATAGCTCCTCCGATGATCCATCTTCGCCATCGATGATTCTCGGCTTCTTTCGCGATACTACGCACCTCGCCCTGCAGGATTCTCAGATCATTCAGAACCATGTTGGTCTGGTTACGAATTCGAGTCTCAAGCTCATAAGCAGAGACGGCAGAATCGCCACCTCGTCGCTGACGCTGCAGGCTCATGTACTCGCGCAGATTGAACTGGCAGTTCACCCTTAGAGCTTGTAACTCTCGCAGGTCAGCCGGTGCTGTGGCGGGGACCATTTGCTGGGTTGATGCGGTAGCCATGGCTCCGGCATGGTTGGGAAGATATGATTCAGAGACGGGGCGGATCGGGAGGTTGCCTGGGCCAGTTTGAGGACCTGATACGGGAGGGTAGTTCTGCGGGTTGTAAGGCTGGTTGTAGCCCGGCGAGTCGTAATTCTGAGGGTTATAGCTCTGATTGGCATAATCCTGGGGATTGTAGTTCTGGGGTCCATAAGGTTGAGGTCCATATTGAGATTCAGGGCCTGGATATGACTTTGCTCTCTCTGGACCTCGATCAAAAGCACGATCCCGCCGGTCTCGCTCTCGGTCACGGTCCTGAGAGGGAGACGGAGTACGGATCGGCTGAGGATCCAGCGATTGAAGCGGTGACTTGTTTGACTTGCGAGTATCAGACATTATGGGCGTCGGGTTTCAGTCTCGGCTCAAATTACGACGTATAATTGAACAGAGGAATGAATTGTCCGTGACAGCTCACCCAACCGGTGATTTTCTGCCCAAGGTGACCGACAAAGAATGAGTATGTATGTATGCGCTGGCTTCAATTCTGGTGGAGAGCGAGAGAGGCTGGAGAATGAATAAACGAGGCCAGCCCATGACGTCCGAGTGGCCGGGGGGATAGGCTGAACGAGAGGTGGGGTGATGGGAATTCATGAGGCTGGGGATGACTTATGCAACTCATGATGTGATGTGATTCGCAACTATCTAAATTTAATACTGCATAACTATTCACAAAATGACCGGATTCTCTTCTTATCCCTCGCTCTAGTTAGCTTCTGGTGGCTTCTAATACCCCAAGATTCGATACATGCGGTGCGCCATCTCATCCATGCCCTCGACAGGCAGTGCCCTCCTAATGTCAGACAGTATCTGCTGCTGAACCTCTGGGTCGAATCTGTTCCAGATCCTTCGAATCTGCTGCACCTGATCCCCTCGGCGTGTCCGGGCGATGTTTGCAAAAGCCTCAAAGAGAACCGCCACCTGATTCCATCCCAAAATGTTATGAACTTCTTGGATGAGAAATTCGAAAAAATCGAGAATTCTGCCGAAAAGGTCTTCTGAGCATCCTAGCCCTCGACCATTGCTGAGCACGATGCACAGAGCATGCATTTGGGCTGCCCATTCGTTGACTGCACGACCGCGGACTGGGTCATTTTCAATGTCCTGCACAGCAACGCTGAACATGTCCATCGCTTCAAGTCTGGTGAATTCCGAAAGGTGCTGGAACACAAAGTCGAGAGCCCAGTTCATCAAATCCTCTGGATGATTTTCCAAGTATGGCTCGCGAAAGAAGGTGCTTAATTCCAGCGCTCCGCGTCTCGTTGCCCCCCGGACCCTGGGTAGGAGATTGAACAGGACTTCTTGGTCGACACTATATCGTCTCCTCAATTGTCCGACTCTTGAGTGTACAATGATGATGCTTTGTCTTCCACCAGGCCCCGGAACGAATGGAGGCCGGCGTCTAAAGGCCATGTCGTGTGGCTCACCGAAATCTTCAAAATTGTCGCCATAGTCGATGTCAGCGAAGCCATTCAAGTAATGACGTCTGTCGCCAGCCATATTGATTCTCTGCGGAATTTGTGCACGTCTTCCTCTAAGGTACAATTGGTGATATTGATAGTGATCGTAAAAGCGATACTGCCTAACCATGCTTTAGAGAGCATCCAAGATGGTTTTGTATGTGCCTCAAAAGTGAAGCATGCTGGCGATATTGCTCGCATTTATAGATGCTGAGAAGCATTGTATCAGTGCCCGGTGCAGGTTTGGTGAGGTTGATTGCGATGCCGTGTAATGGTGAGCAAACCACAAGATGTCATCTGGACGTTTGACTTATTGAGAGTTTGAGCTGGAGGTTAGGCACGCGACACAGCCAATACTATCGTTTGCAATGATGATACGGTTCGTCTCAAGCAAACATTGGGTTCTGTTCGTTATTCAGAGCAACATACAAGCAACCTTGGTTCTCCATATCCAGCTACAGGGTGCCTTTGGAGAGAATTCCAACTGACATGCTGGCTAGTCTATCTGATGCTGTGTTTACTGGTGCAGATTAAAAAAAAAACACTCAATCTATTGCCAACATTGTCGAACTAAGGACTCTGTACGCATGGATCTCGCTAACAATACCTGATAACTTATGCCAGAGAAAATATGAGTCTGATGTGGACTGGGAACGATATGACAGACACCTGAAGCCTCAGGCATCAGGATGAGGCATCCAGATAAATCAGCAGGCAGGCCCAGAAGACCCTGAAGACTCAGGGACCTCACCTCCCCCCACCATTTCCCTTCTTACTCACGTCTCTTTCGTATACCTCAACCTAGAAATGAAGCATCCATTCGAGTCGGCCGCTCTGCTAAAAATATTCTTCATATCTTGTTATCTTACAGAAATAAATAGCATATTTCCCCTTACAAAGATCAATTGCAGTCAATTGGTTCCTTTACATCATCTCATGCTCTCTGAATGTTCAGCAGCATCGTGTTAGTGGTGATCAAGCTCACCTATCAGGACGTCCATCCTTTTCAACCTCACGTCAAATTGTCCGCTCTGGTTTTTTTCTGCCTTATTCCGGTACAAGTGACTTCTAAACTGCCATCTGCCTGGACCCCAGCATCTGTCGTCCGAGTATAAGTATCTCGTGTTTCCCCCCTCTGTTCCTCTGTTTTGGCATGCTCAGCAGTCCTCTTCCTTTTCACTTCTCCCATTTACCTTCACTTCTCCTGTCCTCGAACATTTTTGTTTGTCTCACCAAGATAGTCTCTCATCGTACCATTCTACTTCTTAATTGAACCTATCATCGTGACACCCTCGTGTTGTTGCTGCCTCCAAGAGCTATCCCACCCAAACCTCTTCATCATGATGGACACCGCCGCTCCAGCCTTCGACACAGACGTTGGCCATAAGGTTGAATACAAGATTCGTGACCTTGGAACACGCTCCGTTACCCTCTTTCCCACCCAAGCACAGGTCAAAAGAGAAATTAAGGATGTGCCTCTCAAGGTACGCCTTTCTTGACCAATGTCTCTCTTCATGCTCACCTAGCTAGCCTGGAATCAACGAGATATCCATTGTCGGGCTGAGCCCAACCATTGACAAGAATTCGGTCACCATTGAAGGCAGCGGTGCCGCTACCATTACAGGCATCAGTGTTGAATTTCTCCCCAACCGCGAACTTTTTGATGAAGTCTATCCAAACTCCGATGATGACAACGATGATGATTCAGACAGTGGCGATGAAGAAGAAGAAGTTGAAACCCCAGAAGTGCCACACTATGGGCAGTTGCTGGAAACCAAGGCGAAACTCATCGAGCTCAAAGACGAACAGCAGCGAGCCAGAGAAATTATTGGCAATGCCGATGAGCGTATCAAGGTCCTTGACATATACTCCAAGTCTCTAGATAAGAGAGAGGCTGTTAACATTAGTGAAATGCTTGACACTTATAAGCAAGAGCACCAAAAAGCTTTTGAAGAACGTCTAGTCGGCGTGCAGAAAGAGCGGGAGCTTACGGAGGCCATCAACAAGGTTACCAAGGAGCAGATGCGCTTGAATAAGCTTGGAAACAAGTTTGAGAAGAAGGAGGCTAAGCACAAGGCCAGAATCCAGAAAGCCGTCCAGAAAAAGTATGAACAGCGTCAGAAGCGTCAAGAGGAGAAGCGCAAGGAGAAGGAGCGTATTCGCAACGAGCGCTCACGTTGCTGGCCGCTCTTCTGCTATACTGTACACATACAACTTGAGGTGAGCTCATCCTACACGCCAGCTTCCTCTCGCCGGGAATCAGTATCCAGCGAGGTTGAACTTGTTCAGCGACCCAGGAGTAAGACTGCAGACCTGGAAGAGACATCCTCCTGCAACCTGGTGTTGTCATATGTCACCAACTCGGCATTCTGGACTCCGAGCTATGATATCCAACTATCAACTGTTGACTCCACGGGTATGCTTTGCTTCGATGCCGGTCTGCACAACACAACATCTGAGACGTGGGAAAGCTGCAAGATCACGCTGTCGACTTCTCAGGCCACATCTTCGAGCCTTGACGAGTCGATTCCCAGTCTCACACCCTGGCATATCAAACTGGGCAACAAAAAGTCCTCATCTGACGAGAGTGGTACTTTTGAAAGTGTGGTGGAACTTCAGCAACAGGCCACATGGCGGAATAAGAAACAAGTACCACAGCAGTCTCCCAACTTCAGGCGCGAAATGTTTGGGCTCCCAGGCCAAGCTCTGAATGACTATCAGATGCAGTTGATGATGTTGGAGCAGCAGAACAAGAAGAGACTGATGATGGCTAGACAGGAGCAGGATCCCACAGTTCCGCCTGCTCCTCATCCTTTCCCTCCCCCTCCTGTTCCTAGCGCTGCGACGATGCAGCAGCAAGCGATAATGCAGCAACAAGCGATGTTGCAGCAGCAAGCGCAAGCGCAAGCTCAAGCTCAAGCGTCGCAGATGCGGCCGAATCCGGCACGCATGGTTATGCAAATGAACCAAATGATACAGCCCCAACAGATGCAGCAGCAGCAGCAATTCCCAGGAATGCCACAGATGGACTTTTCCTCTAACTTCGACTTCGATGCCTTTCTAGATGAAGATACAACTATGACGGATGCTCAGCCATCCCTCGAATTCCAGAATTCTCTTGTTGAAGAGACCGGCTTCACCACAACCTTCGATCTTCCCGGGTTGAAGACTCTCGTGCCCAAGTTCACCGTTTCGAAGCAACGTGTTGCTCGCCTGCAGTTTACGAATGTTCTGTTCAGCCACACTATTGTAGCCAAATATCAGCCAGTGGCTTATCTCAAAGCCAAACTCAAGAACAACAGTAAACTTACTTTACTCCGCGGCCCTGCGAGCTTGACACTTGACGGTAGCTTCATGGGGCAGAGCAAAATTCCTCGATGCAGCTCAGGTGAGGTCTTTACTCTTAGTCTGGGTGTGGACTCGGCAATCAGAGTCATTTACCCGAAGCCTGATGTCCGAAGAAGCACGAGCGGAGTATTCAGCAAAGAAGATAGCTCTGTCTATGTTCGCACTGTCACAGTCCACAACACCCGCGTAACTGCCAAAAAGCCCATTAGCCTTCTGGTACTGGATCAAATCCCTGTTTCAGAGGACGATCGCCTCCGAGTTGAGTTACTCAGTCCTCGAGGTCTGACTGTCGAAGGACCGCGTCAAGCGACTGGCGCTCCTGGGCGTGATACTGCAGAGGATAAGGACTGGGGCAAAGCTATGGCAGCTCTTAAAAAGAGCGGACAGGTTTCGTGGGAGGTCTCGCTGAATGCAGGTAAGGCCGTAAAGCTGGGACTCGAGTACTCGGTTTCAATGCCAAGTGGCGATGTTGCTAAGGAATGTTGATTTGCTTCGATATGTACGGGGGTTAACAATTGATGGCTCTGTGATAATTGGATAATTCTGGGTTGCTGGTAAATCGTCGTCAAGGACGCGTTATAGCACCATGCTCACTTCTATTTATTCTTGGTGGTTACTTTCTGGATTTTACAATAGTACTCAATCATTCATTTTTTTTCTCTCCTTTTCCCTTTTCATAGTTGATGAGATCGCTCTTTGAGGATTTCTGGTGCTTGCTCGGGTCTTCTTCATCCATGTTGAATGGGAGATCTCAGCTCTTGGTACTGTACATAATTTAATACACGAATCTGCCTACGTGACTCAATCTTCGTCCAGCTCATAGTCACTCTCGTCTTCAGGATCATCCTCCTCCATTTCGGAATCGTCTTCCTCCCCAGAATCATCGAGCTCAAGTGTTCGAAATTGATCGCTTGTGGTATCGGATTCCATTGTCGCCTTGCGAAACGCTTCCCCTGGGGCCTCCGTTCGGGCAGGGTGTAGCATGTTACCAAAGTTTGGTGCACGCGGAATTCCTGAAGGACCAATAATCGCATTCATGGGTGTATCCCGTGGGCCGAGGCCACCGTTGGTGTGCATGACCATGGATAGAGGATGACGGAGAAGAGCATGCTGGGGCTGCGTTCGCCACTCGATGTCGTTTTTCCGGGCATCGGAGATCTCGTCGGCCCAGCAGGGTTTGTTTGGGTCGATGGAATGCTCGATGTGGCCGAGCATAATCATCTGCGACATGACCGGGTCCTCCGCAGAGTGGTGGGAGTAGCTCTCTGGTAGCTGCCAGGACTTTCTCTGTCTGCGCAGAGACCAATAGGGGTGCCTGCTTTCGTACTCCTCGGCGAGCAGAGCTGGGTTGATGAACGGGGCTGGTGTGCTGCCCATCTGGCTGTTCTTGAGACAGGTTACAGGCTGAAGCCTATCGGTTCCATCGTTGGCTGGCCCATACACAACAAGTTCAGGACTGATGTTCAAGAGGGCATCGGGGACGGCAAGGTGACATCCCAGGGTACGTGAGAGTAGTGCTTTCGCGGGATATACACGTCGCATGCGATCGTATGTGTCGCGAGGGATCTGGCCCTTGAATGAGTGAACGTCAGTGGCTCTTGTCCAAAGGACATGGTCGAAAAAGGTCGAAAAGATCTCCTGAAGGTTCGCCTTGGGACATTCGAGCGGGGATGGTCTTATAGACCCGCGAGGGTCAATGTTCGGCATGAATTCGGGCTGCGGCCATGGATGGAAGAGCAGTATTGTCTTGTTATGCTCGGTGTGGGACCCTGAGACCAAGCCGTTAAGGAACTTATTGACTAGTACCAGGGTCTTAATCTTGTCCCAAGAATCGTTAGGCGCGCTGTTCATCATGATGAACATGATGCCGGACTCTGCGATTGGTGAGAGCGCATAAGGATACAATTTGGCCCATTCTTGCTCGATCCTCAGCTGTTCAGTGAACCAGTCCATTTCGACACCTGCATCTTCAAGAGAATGAAGCTCCATACCACCGACAACGCCCTGTCGTGGCTTCCAGGCGAAACTGTGGGTGCTTGGCTGCGGATATTTCCCAACCATGATGGCGTCTGTGGAGTTGATCGAGGTAACGTCTTGACGATCGTCTTCATCAAAGTCACTATGCTCACCACAGTCGGTACCACCATATGAGAACTTGCGACAAAAAAGACAGATAGGCATTGGTCTATAGAAGGACGTGAGTATAAACATCGCGTCCTTCTTCGCCAGCTCCCAATCTTCAGGAGGTGGCAAGTTCGAAAGCTCATGTCGTTGCTTTGGTACACATCGGAAGCAGAAGCCTCTGTCTTCAAGGCTGTCAAGGTCTTTCAGGCAGAGGTTGCAACAACCCCAAGCAGGACTGCGCCAGCTGCATCCCCTGCAGTAGAAATTCAATGGCTCGCGGATGCCAGACTTGCAGTTAACACATACATGCTCGGCTGGCATTGGTGCTCCCGGCTGGCGGACGTAGTGATCGACTCGCTGTTGTAAAGTCATGTCGACTTAGGCTTGGTTACTAAAGAAGTTTGTACTTAGATTGTGGACGGAGGTAATTGACGGCTGGGAGTTCTCACTTACGTGTAAGGAAGAATCGATGAGTGTGTGGATGTGTTTGTATATGAGTCTCTTGGTTGTTTTTAAATATCGCTCATATCTACCATGTTCGGCAGTAAGGAAGAACACGAGGTAGGACAGGATAGGGAACAAGAGGGAACAAATTTGGTGTATATTTTGAACAATGACAAGTTCACGCATCTCTCAGTCCAGGTGGGGTCCTTGAACAGCCCAACTCACTGTCTGTCCCCTGAAAAACTTGGCGCCTAATTATATGTTGAGGATTACTGAGCAGTGACTTGATAGTTGCTCAAGCGCTGGCACTGCCAGTTGCAGACAGGCGGCATGACCAGACCAACAGTTCCAAGTTCTTTCATACCAATAGCTACTCCTACCGGTTCTTTTCTTTTCGGCTCCTTCATCTCGATTCTTTTCCCTCAGACTACGACCTCCCCGTGACGCCTCACAGGAAATATCACCTTGTGGTGCAGCCGCTGCAACCTCTTCCTTCTTTTCAAGGCTTCATCTTCATACCCATGGAACACTAGCCCGGTTGCAACTAGGTACAGTGGTACGTCTGCCATGAGATACGAAAGCCCTGACAGGTAATAGTATGCTTCTGTCAACGGCTGAAGCGGCGCCCACTCTCGTACAGACGGGATAAGCTTCGTATTCTCATCCCCTTCCACCCATGTGGATTTCAGAGCATCATCTTTATACCTCAAAGTCCAACCATCGACCGAAAAGTTCCACTTGGATATTCCATTTGGCGTCTGGTAGGTAGTGAAAGTTTTGAGAACTGCTTCGAGAAACTCTCGAAGCTCATCCTCGGTTCTGTCTGACCACTCTTCCTTTGCTAACGCACTGCTCTTGTTAGTCGCATTATCTAAGAGTTCGCCGTCGTCAAAAGAGTAACCAGTCACCGCCGTCGACGACTGTGTGGAGATAGGTTCGATTGCCATTGTATGGCTGTTGGAAGTGTCGCCCGAAGACAAAGAGACGCCATCCTGGGGATCCTCATCATCTAGCAGAGATGGAGGCTCCCGAAAATCTTCATTGCCATCTGCTTCTGTCCACCCTTGGCTAGTTTCAGATTCTACCTCTTCGATAGGAGACAGCCGCGATGGTACGTGGAAGTCAATCTCAGTCCTCAACATTACATCTGGGGCCTGTATCTTGGGCAAGTGAATAGCGAGAAAGGAGTGATAATCGCAGGTCCAAGTCCGATTCCCCGGTTTCTTGTCCCGTCTGACACACACTTCGCAGAGGTCGACTGTGCAGCATGTGCAACAAACGTAGCGAGGACCTGTAATTGTGTCAAGACACATATCACAGTAGTTGTCATGCTTCAAAACTAAGGGGGTTGTCTCTACAGCTCGAGCACTTCTTTGAAGAGCAATTTGGGCGAAACTGTACGACCCAAGCTGAAGCAGGAACTTGCCAAGGCGCTCCCATCTTACCCCGTGTAGGTCGAAATCATCTAGTAGGCTTCGGGCATCCTGACGTACACCTTCGACACAGCGATCGAACGGCGCTGGATTATTGGCTTCAGGCCTGGTCAGGTCATAAGCGTTGAGTCCGTACATGTCTCGGTTCTCGGTAAGTATCGTCTCTACATCCGAGTCTTTGGCAGCACCTAACACCATGGCAGGCATCAAACTCGTTCCCGATTGCAGTGCTATCTGAAGTGCAGTCCGGTCGAAGGAGTCCCGCTGAGTCAAATCGATAGACTCATGCTCAAGAAGAATCCGTAAAGTCTCATTCTGACGATTGGTGATCGCCCCAAAGACTGGGACGTTTCCATATTTCGATCTCCTGTTCACATCTGCACCACGTTCCAAGAGGATCGACACAAGCTTGCCATGGCCACAATAAACCGCCTTGAATAATGGGGTCTCGCCATCTGCTAAGATGCAGTCGGTGTCGAGGTTGGGATTCTTCTCCAAGACGAGTTTCAGATTCTTCTCAGATCCGCCAGACACAATCGTAGGTATGATGTTTTCTACGTCATCAAAGATGACATCTGTTGACGCTCCTCGTTCAAGTAGATATTTGACCATATCCTCATGTCCTTCCACACAAGCGTACCATAGCGGTGTTCTTTGAGCTCTATCACGTATCTCAAGTGACGAATCATCGACTGCGTCGAGTATGACTTCCAAAACCTGGGTATTACCTCCCTCAGCGGCGGCATGGATGATAGTCTGGCCCTTATTGATCTTGGATTGCAGCTGTTTGTTTGGGTCGGCGCCCTTACTGAGAAGTAGCTTCACTGCATCCAGTCTCCCACCTGATGCAGCTGCTTTCAAAGGGGTTCCAGCCCAGCCCCATTCGAAGTTGACCAACTCGCCAACATCATCAACAACCTCCAAGAAGGTTTCCATCACGTCCAGCCAGCCCCCTATACAAGCAGCATGAAAGGCACTTGATTCTTTGGTAGTTTCCGGGTAAGGATCTGCTCCTCGCTTCAGGAGTTCTATCACTATACTTCGATGACCTTTGTTGGCTGCAATGTGTAGTGGAGCACCTGAGTTTTGCGGTCCATTCCGCATGTTTGGATCTGCTCCGTGATCAAGAAGCATACTGACGATGTCCAATCTCCCAGTTGTCGTTGCGATACCAAGAGCAGTGTATTCCTTATCGCCTTTCGCGTCTATATCGGAAAATAACCGACTTGAAAGAATAATCTCCACCATCTCAAAATTCCCCCAGTCGACCGCAATATGAAGTGGTGTTTCATAATCCGGTCTGCTTGGATCAGCTCCGTGAGAGACAAGGCATTCGACCATGTCGAGATCATTCAGATCTGCCGCTATTGAGAGAGCCGTGCTTCCATCCTTGTCTTCCGCGTTGACTTGGCACCCAGCATCAAGGAGTAGCTCACATCCTAGTAAATTCTGAGCCGCCACTGCTATATGTAGGGGAGAGCTCATTCCCTTCACAGGGCACTCGACTGCAGCACCCGCAGCCAAAAGGGCCCTCAGAATATCACTATGGCCCGACTCAACGGCCAGAGCCACTGGTGAAGCTTTTGGCAGATCTCTGGGAGGATCGTTGAGGTTTGCATGCTTCTCGATAAGCTTGTCAACGACTCCTTTCCATCCCTTGAAGCATGCCATGTGAATCAAGCGCTCATTCCGCCAAACTTGATCCACGTCTATATGTCGTATCAGGATCTCGAGGGCATCAGTACTCCCCATCCAGCTAGCTAAGAAAGGTATAGGTTTTCCATCGAATGCGGGAGCATCAAGGTCCGCTGAGAACTCCAATAATAGTTCGACCATTTCTGAACTATTCTTCCCTGTAGCAAGCGCAAGTGGTGAATGACCGTTGATAGATGAAATGTTAGGGTCGGCCCCAAACTCAAGAAGTGTTCGAACAACATCCACTGCGCCAACATCAACCGCGGTGAACAATGCCGTTTGGTTCCATGGATCAACAGCATCTACCTTGGCGCCGGCCTTGAGGAGAGCCTGCACGCTCCGGCAATGGCCACGGACTGCGGCAAGGATCAAAGGCGTTGACCCGTCATTATCTGGTAGGTCTACATTCCTTGCGAAAGGCAGAAGCACCTCCAAAGCTGCCCCCGGCTGGGCTGCAGCATAGTGTATTGCTGTGGTGCCTTCCCATATGTCGTTGACCAGTGTCTCTAGGTCTTCTTCGACCTGTTGCCTTGAATTCGGGGAAATATGAATAAGAAGATCACGGATTCTGTGGAGGAAGCGGTTTGGGGTATGTTCTAGGGCGTGAGAGAAGATCTCTTTGATCACAAGATCCGCGTCCCACTGAGCGAGCAACACCAAGGGTGGTTTTGCTGATCGAATGGAAGTTTGAGCCGTGGTGGTCAACCGCCCGCGGCCTCCAGATCCGTCAGAGTCACATTTGCTCACACTATCGTCTGTGCCGTCCGATAAGTATCCAGCCTCGACCACATCTTCTTTCTGCGCGCCAGTATTTGAGGAAGAGGTCTGTGGGCGTTCTATTGCAGGGGGCGATCGAGTCCTGGACCCTCTCGAGGACCTGCTTCTAGACCTAGAAGGAGTCGGTGTCTGAGCCCTGAATAATGCAGGCGATCTTGTTGGCGACGGGCTCCTAGAATCCCAAGTACGTTGTCTCTGGAACGTATAATATCGCCACTTTTCCCCAGCTGGGGAGCGGATGAAATCCCATAAATCCCCAGATATCTTGTAGGTATCTGGCCTAAAGAACTTCAAATGATACCTAAACCAAGCCGAAGAGTATTCCAGAAATACGTAGCGGTCTGCAAGAGCATCTCGGCAGTAGTCTGTCCATGGGTCGTAATATGGCTCCCAATCTATCTCCCTAACATATTTGAGGCATGCGGTTGCGAGGGTTTGATGTACAAGGTTGACATCGTACGTGTCGAGAATAAAGTCGTAAAGAGTCTGGTGCAAAAGCTCGAGAGTGTCCTCAGCGCCAAATCTAATTAGCCGCTGGCATGTTCTTGTCAAATCGCCGACAAGATCGTAAGTCCTTGTTACCGAGGGATTTAGAAACCGAAGGATCTCCTTGGCCTCTTCTATTCTCAAGGTCGACCTTGCTATGCAGATAATCTGAATCAGCTGAAATAAGTCGTTGCGTTCATTTTGAATGCGGTCCATGTCTTGTTGATATATCGCTTCCATGGTTGGAGGACAGCTCGTAACGAGTGTAAAGACTGAGTTGGCCCCTGTGTCTTTGATGTGCCACAGTTCCTTGAGGACTGCTGATGCGAAGAGGAAACTTCCATTCGACCTCTCAACAATGACGGCAGAAACAGAAGCTCGTCCAACAGTGGCTATTCGGCGACTCAAAATAATGCGGTCGACTTCTTCGTCAACTACTTTTTGTATATCATTAAGGATCAGATCTGGTGTGACTTCTATGTGGTTATTTGCGAGCGCGAACCCTCGGATCGAGTCTGCCATGCGTGATGTTACGACAACTTTGAGGGCTGAAGCAGAAGACTCGCGACGGAAAATCGTGTCTAAACCACGGAGCAACCGGATGATGAATTCGTCTTCACATTGATCTAGACCATCAATTATGAGACAAGTTGGTCTAGCATCTTCAGCCGTCGCCAGTAATTGAACAATTTCCATCAGTTGGAAGAAATGTCCGCTATTCTCGGTTTCGAGAGGTGATCGTGACTTCTGTCTATCAACCCCAAGGGTTTCCAAGACTGATTCCAGCTTCTTTCGTGTCGCTTGTGATATGGTGGTATACTTGCTCAGCATAGATTGGACAACAAGATCCAATATTGGAGGATTGTGTCGAGAGCTCTCCAGACTATCACAGTAGAATGGTATGACGAGGCTCTCCTCCCATCTCTCATCGTTCGAATCTTTCATTGCACCCTGGATGTACTTTGCCAAGTTTGACTTGCCACATCCAGGGCTTCCTGTAATGAATAGGATACTGCCACTCTTGTTTTCCTTCCATTTGACGAAAGTGGGATCCTCCAATATCCATGAGCATGTCTGCCAGTGAGGAGCCTCGCGATCAAGACCTTTATTTTCGGGTGTCACAGAGCGAAGAAGGCGGGTGAAATCACTAAACTCCTTAACATCTTTTGCAAGTCAGCATGCTGTATATCCCTGTAACAACATCTCAACCTACCAAATTTCCCCGGTTGTGTCCGATTCTGAGCTTGAGACACGGCAGTCTCATGCGGTATTGGTAAGTCGGCATTGATGCGGCTTGTAACTTCTTTCAATAGTTTGTCGACACTTGAGCGAATCGCCGAGTCTCTAGAGGTTTTCGATGCTTTCCCAACGTCATGTCGACGCCGGAGAGGAGCATTCGGGCGTGGCCGAGGCGACGGCCTGTGGAAGTTAGCAGTTTTCGGCTATTTCAAGGATATCTCCTACTGTGGAACATCTTCATCTGTCCATGTGGGTGCCTTTTTTAATGGTTTGATCGGAGGTGGTTCAGCCAGTCTCACTAGCCTTTCAACTTCACCCCAGAACAGTTCGAACCGTGGGTGTAATGGGGAAGCGAATTTAGGCAATCCAGAGTGCGTACAATTGAGATCTATATTATCGACGCCCTGAAGGACAGCAGACCATTGAGGGACTATCTTGGCCAAGTTAGCGGGATGGACTTTTCCGCAAGATTCACTTACAATTTCTTTTGCTCCATTCGGTAACCGCTGTGGATGGGACTCATAGCAACATAAGAGCTTGATGGAACGATGAACATCAATAGTAAATTCCATGTTGATATCTTGTACTGAGTTTGAGAACGCTCGAAGTTCTTTTGTGAGGTTTGTCGCGACAGCAGTTTGAAGTTTCATCAAAGATGCCAATTTCTGCACAACGACGAGGTCTTCAGCTTTTTCCGATCCCATATGAGGAGTCCCCATGAAGATTATGGACTTCGTAGCTTGCTTGATGGCTTTCCAATCGTCATTTGTCGCGCATAGGAGTATTGCCTCGAGGTTTGTCAGTTGGAAAATGCATGAAAATTGGTTCGCAACCTACTCTTTTGACGACTAACCCACCAAGACTGTGAGCAATGAATATTAAAGGGCGGTCCTATAAAGGCATTAGACAAATTCATTGAGCATTATGGCCATTCATACTGGGTGATCGAGTCGTTTGAGAACCAGATTTCGGAGTAAATCATTGGCGTGATGGATTATCCTCGTGTTGGCGACATCGCCGAAACGGTGAGCATTGTAGCCAAATGACAGGACGCGAACCGAATCTTGAAGACGGCCAAGAAATTCTGGCTTTGTAAACCATGGCTCAGTTGTGCCCTCTTGCTTCCAAGTGGTTCTGAGATTCCCCCCTAGTCCATGAACAAAGACGAGGCTTATATGGTGAGTTCAGGATCGGCATTGGTTTCAAGTTCAACTCACTCCACAAGGTCTTTCTGTGCGGCAGATGAGTTATCGCTCAAAGAAGGCACGTACATCTCCTTGAGAATGTACTCATAATGTCGCTCATCATCCTGATCCGAGATCTTGAATCATAAATGGTCAGCGGTCGTCCATACGCGGGGCTTTCAGCGTCGTCTCTTTTTATCTTACAGTGGTATCGTCGGACGATGAGAGAGTTTCCTCTCGGCGACGCCCAAGTCTCATTCTGACGACGATCAAAGCAGAAATTTGTAATCAGACAGGACAGCCTTGAACCCAAACAATGTTGAGCACGGCTGGCTTATGAGCTTTACTCGAAAGTGCGGGTTTGGGGGCCGTCAGCAAGGCTCAGCCTCATCCAATGATGGAGGCTACCAGAGGCGATGCATGGGTCCTGTTGACCCTTGCAAGTTATGTACACAGTAGCATCCCTAACTCAAGTGCCAATATTTGTGGCTTCGACATGTTGGCTCAGCTTAAGATGAAAAAGTGAAGATGATTTTTCCATGGTTCATACCATTGATTTTAAATTCCGGCTTAAAATGGTCACCTAGAAATTGGGGGAGGATGTTGCCGTCTATTGGAGTAATGCACACCCAGCAAGGGCTGTAGCAATAAAGTCCAAACCTGTCTAGTGGTTGTTAATTTAATTCTTATTTTGGGGACTTTTGATGAGATGCGCTGAGATAATTGACAGTTGAGAGAGCTGTGTTTGAGTTGAAGTTACTTTATATTTCCCAGGCCGAATAAGTGGTTGCTTACCTGCCTCTTGACTTAATTCCTCTGTCTTCTTACAGGGAGAGTAGACCTTTATTTCTACTACTCTAAGCTTATTTTCTTTCTTATAGGACTGGCAATTATGCTTAAACCTGCCTGATGCTATCATTTCATTCTTATAAATGATAACTCTAAGAATATTGTTATTACACTCAGCAAATGGAGCTTACCCTGTAATAGCGAAATAGGTCTTGAAGCACTTATGTGATTGGCTTATATCCATGCTTATAGCAACGCTCAATTACTCACCCGGCGTCCTTTACACACGGAGTGAGACCTTTGAGGTGACTCACTTTCAAATGGAGAAGAATACTTCATACGCATAATTTAACAATAAATACCTAAGGTCAGGAGCTTGAGAACTGCTATAGTGATCTTTTATTCTACATTCTCCACTGCCTCTTGATTCACTTGTTCTGATCCACTCCGTACCAAGAAAGTCCAAAGTCGAAAAAAGACCCCTCCATCCAAGTCATGTGATCGAAGCAATTGCCCCTCCCCCTCCCTCCTGGGTTATCAACACCGATAAAAAATCCACCATTAGGCTCAACCAGATTGAACGAATATCGTACCATCGCGAATCGCCAAGATGTTGGACATTGAGGATTTTATTGAGGAGCGCGGCGGAAACCCTGAGAAGATTCGAGAGAGTCAGCGTCGCCGACATGCTCCTGTAGAGCTGGTTGACGAGGTTATTGCCCTTTGGCAAGATGCGCGCAAGAGTGAGTCATTGGATATCTATACAGTTTCAATGATCTCTTTGAACCAGCTAACATCTTGAAAGCTCAGTATGGAGTTACGCAGATCGGCACACAAATAAACGGTGTTCAAAAGGAGATTGGCCTCAAGAAACGAGCCAAGGAGGATGCGACCGAGCTACTGAAGCAGAAGGAGGAGTTGACAGAGAAGAAGAAGCTCCAAGAGGAGCTTGCGGCAGCAAAGAATGCCGAACTCAAAGTCAAGGCAAAGCTCGTCGGAAACTACGTGCACGACTCCGTCCATGTCAGCGACAACGAGGACAACAACACAATCGAGCGAACCTGGGAGCCTGAGACTTTCGACAAGACCAAGCAAGCTCCCCTTTCCCACCACGATGTGCTGCTGCGACTTGGCGGATACGACCCTGTTCGAGGAGTCAAGTTGGTCGGCCACCGAGGTTACTGCTTGACTGGCTACGGCATGTTCCTGTAAGTCAGAAGGGCTTGGAGGGCGACAACGATTTCTGACAATGACAGAAACCTTGCACTCGTCAACTATGCCACAGCCTTCCTCTTTAACAAGGGTATGTATACTTTGATCCAAATTATCATGCACCGTTAACGAAATCTGTGCTGCAGGCTACACCCCTAACCAACCACCCTTCATGCTCAACCGCGACCAGATGGCCAAGACTGCACAGCTCTCTCAATTTGATGAGGAGCTTTACCGTGTTTCCGAAGGACCTACACCTTCCGAGTCGGATCGATACCTCATTGCCACCAGCGAGCAGCCCCTTTCCGCGCTTCATGCCGAGGAGTGGATCCAACCCTCTGAGCTCCCTATCAAGTACTGCGGTTACAGCACTTGCTTCCGAAAGGAGGCCGGTAGCCACGGTCGTGATGCTTGGGGTGTGTTCCGCGTGCATCAGTTTGAGAAGGTTGAGCAGTTTGTCCTCTGTGGCCCCGATGACAGCTGGGACCAGTTCGATCAAATGATGGCCAACTCCGAGGAGTTTTACAAGTCCCTTGGTCTTCCCTACCAGGTCGTGGGTATTGTCACGGGTGCGTTGAACAACGCTGCTGCTAAGAAGTACGACTTGGAGGCATGGTTCCCCTTCCAGAAGGAATACAAGGAGCTTGTTTCTTGCTCCAACTGCACAGACTACCAGACCAGAGAGCTCGAGATTCGCCATGGTTCCAAGAAGGGCAAGCAGATCGTTGGTGGTGGAAAGAAGGAGTATGTCCATGCTCTGAACGCTGTAAGTCTTGGGATGGTCCCCGCGCTTGTTGAGGCCATATCGCTAATCCATCTTTACAGACTCTCTGTGCTACTGAGCGAACACTGTGCTGCATTCTTGAGAACTACCAAACGGAGGAAGGTCTCGTTGTTCCCGAGGTCTTACGAAAGTATATTCCTGGCGAGCCTGAGTTTTTGCCTTTCATCAAGGAGACCCCCAAGGAAGCAGAGAAGACCGAAAAGAAGGAGAAGACCCTTCCGGTTCGTGAGACCAAGGCGTAAATGCATGCATTCTGCCAAGATGAAATGGGATGTTATAGAGGAAGAAAATGTGTTCTATTTGCGATGACACAGCGCATGATGGGAATTCAGTAGAAATCAACAAAAGTCATCAACAAGATAGCTGGCCAGTTTTACAAATTGGACGAATCTTTGTTTGTTCAACATGTTGGTGCTCATCTGTAAACGAGCCTTCGATGAGAGCTTGAATTCGGGTCGGAAGAGGATATCTCCGAAATTCCGCGGCGCTGAACAGACAAGTTCGGCCAGAAGCGCTAGCTCACGGATCGTTGAGCCCTTTCCCCGCCCCCTGTCAAAACGACACCGGTCCTCTCCGTGATCGAGACGGAGGTGGGTACCGTTTTGGCATTTAATCTGCCGGTCTCGTTGTGGGAGTACCATGGCAGCAATAGCCGGCACCATCAGCGATCGAGTGTCCAGAGCTCTACGACATTGCTATGAAGCAAGATAATAATCCTCATGTACTGTACAGGACGCAGGCAAAGGAATTTGTTACTGGGCGCGTAGGATTCATTCCATCCGAACTTAGTGGCGGTGATAGGTACCTACCTTAGTTACCGTACGGTGCGGCCGTATCATATCAATACTGTGATGTCCTCGGAAACGGCCCCACCGTAATGCTTCTGCCGGAGACGCCTCCTTTTCATCACCAGAGCAGGAGGCGCCTGCGAATGGGTGAAATTGTCGGCCGGGCACAGAGGGTGGGTGCCGCATGTCTCTGTGAGAGGGTGAACGTAGAGAATACCCAAACGTTGCTCTGAAAACGAAACCGTTCCGTCCTGTCCTGTGGACATTGGCGCTGGAGGGAGACTCGAAAGCTGAGGTGGTGCCGCCGGGCGGAGTGGAGGTAACAGTCCCGACGATACCTGGACCATGTCCGGCCACATCCATCAATTGTGATCCGGAAGTGCCACAGGACATGTCAAGTACGGGGGATAAGGTGATTCTGACCACTTATCCGGAGGCCCGTGTGTGGTGATGAAAATAGGGCTGTCTTGAAGGGAAACATGATCTTCTTATTGCTCCTTCACGCGCTGACGAGGCAGGCTGCCACAAGGAGGGGAAGAGAGTGGAGGGTACTGATAGCCCCGGGTCTGGCTCAGATCATTATTTGCTGGTCCGGAACCAATCAAGGGCTGCAGAGTGCACAAATAAGACATCGTCCCCATTATCTGTATGTATACAAAAGCGAGCGACATGGGAAAAGGATGAGTGAATGCCATAAAGATATAGCTGCGGGATGCTGAGTCTCCAAAGCTCTAGCCTTGGTGGCCGCCACGACTGAGGACTAGGGAATAGGCCATGGACGGCATGGCGGCGGCTGTCGAAGCCACTTGGTGGTATTATTCATGTGTAACGCTGTAGCAGAACAGCTCGTGTTTTGTGGTGACACCAAATAGCTGAGCTTCACATGTACTTTCGATATTGACTACAGTGTATGGATACAGGAGAGGACAGCGACGTAGTAGGGCGTCTGCTTGTCCTACCTGAATAAAGCTAGGAGATCTCTTTCGCACTTCGAAATGATGATTGACCGGTCAGTAGTTTAAGCACCAACAAGTATTCTTTGAGAGGGGAATTGGATAGTATTCAAAGGTCTGTCCCCAGGCTGATGAGAGGGCAAAGCGATGGACAAGCCCCAGCTCTGAAGACTGCCGAACACCCCACCCGCCATTTCTGACATCAAATTTGTGTGCACTGTGGTGAGTGTCCGGGGGAACAACATCGGCGGTGAGTAGTGAATGTCAGGGGAAAACCTCGGGCGGTTCGGCCTGGGGGAAGGGGAAATGAAAACCACTAGGCCCCGGTCACGGCGCGAATAAAATCGGCATCGCCACCAGCTTTTACGGGTTTCACAACGTTGGAGTTCGGGCGAGGAAACAAGAACCGTGCCCTTTAAATGAACGCACGTCTTCTGTTTACCTATATACAAAGGTCGATGTGTGAGGATCGGAGGGACATGAAGCTTAATCAATGCTGGATGGACTCCGACGTTACCGATACCCCGGGTATACCGATGCTCGGGGCGCGTCGCCAAAACAACCGAAAAACGACCCATCTTTGCCCTGCAGACGATGATGCCGCTGATGCACCGCGGTTACATCAACCAAGCTGCCCGTCAAATGACAGGCTCGTTGTGATCCGTCCTGGGGATTCTGGGGATAGGTAGTCAGATCGTAGCGGCTGTGATGAAACCTCGCGACAATTTCATGCGTCGGTCGACCTGCGCAGGACGGCGTGACATGCGCCTACAGCGGGTACGTACCTTGTTCCTGGCCGCGATTTGAATACCTTATTTGCGCCCGCGTTTTGGCTGCTTGCTTGTTCCTTTGTTTCGATCCATCAGGCTGTTGTAGACTCCGTAGGTGGTCCCGCTACCGTTTTAAACGCCGGCGTATGGAGCCCGGAAGCTGGATGAGATGTTTATGACCAGACCATCTTTGTCAAGAAGAGAATGTGAAGGCCTGAGATGGCCACCTGCTATATACTCACGAATACTTTTCATCATTTACTTGATGCTTTGCGCCTCTATTTATATACCTACAGAAATTAGACTTCTCAGTCATTGTAGTGATTGCACGGAGATGACACTACGGCCCTCTTGAAAACCCGATGCCGAAGTGGCCGTAGCGCTGAGTTTGGTTTGCGGTGCGGGCAGCGGCCGAGCATGATTTCCAAGCTTCATTTCCATGGGGGTTACAATAAAATAGCTACACCTTGAATGATACCTGTTGAATCGCGATGTTTTGTTCATCTTCGATGCTCCTCCGGCATGGGTTCGATACATAAACGCTATAATGTATGACGTGCACCTATGGGTTATTCTTGTCTTTCAGATAGAGCTCAGTTGATTTACAGCTCTGTCCACAGTGATAGAAAGGCCTGTAACGTTCGGGGGGTGGATTTCTTTCAACCTCTGCCCTGTCGGTTTACGACCCACACGCCCCCGTGGCTCTCCTCCGTTTCCCGTTCTCCGTCCCCCGTTTCTTCTGCCTCTTTTGTTGATGATGTTCCTGCCTTTGTCTTCAGGCTGTCCTGTCCGCTCGCTTTGTCGCCCTCGTGCTTTTGCCTTGCCTTGCCAGTCACCTCCGCTTCCTCCGCCCCCTTCTCCTCTTCATTTCCACTTCCTCCCATCTTGCCCCATACACGCGATATTTTTTTTGTGAAAGGTCTTGTTTCTGCTGTTCGATAGTAGTCTGAGACTGCTATTCCCATTTTCCCACTGTTGTCTGGACATTGTGTGTGAATTGCCTGGACAGCCGGACTTAGGTAGAGGCTCTCCGACCCAATTTGATCGCCCCGGGACTTGGGTCATCTCCTTCATCCGATCGCACGGCGCCGCCATTTCGGTTGTTTTCGCCTACCAACTTTCCTAACGAGTGCGTAAGCTATTCCTTCTGTTGAACTCGCTGCAGCGACAGACTTTTTGTCTTGCTTTTCTCTTCAATTTTTACCACTTTCTATGTGGAAGTCGTGGTAGTGGACTTCCGCCTTATTCAGCCGCCCGAAAACCCCCCAAATTCGCGCGTGCCTTCCGTTCGGCCTCGCTTGCCTCCTCCTTCCTCACACGGGGCCCTCCGGTCCTCTGCCGTTATTTTCACACGGAGTCCACCCCGAGAATTTCTTCCTTTCATCAACCATTTTTGCTGCCATTTCACCATCCTCAGCAGCATTCACTTACCAATACCCTTACAGTCGTCAATCGTTTCTCACTCACAATTCCAATAGTCTGCCGCCGCCGACAATGTCGTCTGGCGTTGTACGCTCTACCGCCCTCAGGGCTGGAGGTGCTTGCGTGCGCTGTCGCAAGGGCAAGACAAAATGTGTCTATGAAAATGGTAGAGCACCATGCAAGAACTGCGCAAAGGGAATGCATGACTGCTATTTGCCTTCAGAGAGCATGGCTCATCACCACGGCCAAAGCCCAGCGCGACACGCCAATCCTCATCGGCCACCTCGCGACAGTCTTCCTGCTGCAGGACCTGGCGTTGTTGCTGAAACGCGACAGCCCGTGGTAGGCTCCAGTGCTGCTCGTCATGTCCAGACAGGTTCTGATAAGTAAGCTGTCCATTTCCGTTATTGTCTATTGTTTCTGTCCTATTTCTTCTGTCGTTGCTATTCTCCGACATCCTATTTCCCCACACTCGGATCTTATCACAGCCCTCACTGTCGCGCGTCAGCATAGACAGCTCCGACAAATACGGCATCTTCCAGTTGTCTTATCAAACTACTCTTCTCAACCCCGGGTGGGTCGGCAGACGAGTCATCTTGGCCTCGCTTCCCTGTCTCGTCTCATCATAAGACTTTGGCACACTCAGGCTGCTTCGTCTTCTTGTCCGAGTGGCTAGCCGCCCACTCGACATGCCTCCATCAGCCCCTTAGCCGGCCCCCGTATCCCTGCCCTGCTCCCCATTTCTCATTACCACACCCGCGCCCGCGCTTCTTTGGTTGCTCTCCCCGATCTCGCGACCCACTTTATCGCCGTCGGCTTACGGGGAGCCTCCGAGAATTCTCATCAAAGTCTTCTGTGAAACTTCAGAGCTGTATCTTTTGAGACGAATTGAGTCGGTTTCTGTTGTCAATATTTCATTGCTATTTTTGCTTCCTGAAATCTTGAATCGAACTCTCAATGATACACGCCGGAGCTTTTCTGGATTCTTGGGTCATTGAAGCGCAGGCCCTCGAGGTTGACGCGGGCCGTGCCACCCCCTAGACCCCATTCGCAGTCTCTGTTTCCTTCAGTCTTGCTAACTGCAGCACTTAGGCTCACCCCCGAACTGATCGCCGAGTGTGAACGTGTTGTATCGAAAACATTTCCAGCCTGTGTTGCGTTTCACAAGCCCTCTTTTGTACAACAGCTGAAGAGCGCATCCTTGGATGCTGCTTTGGTCTATGGTCTTTTGACTTGTGCCGCCAGGTACGTTACTCTTGCTTTGTCGTTACCCATGTCAAATTATCCCTCACACGCTCACTCCCCGGTA